CTCAAAGATGTCATCCAATTGCTAAACGCCTGGGTCCCAGTAGTGATTATAAACCAACACTCAAGCCTACAGCAGGTCCAGGAGCTTCACGTACAGTGTAAAATGAGTAAATCACCTTACAGTTTAACGAACATCCACTGTATCAAAAGATCTAACCACATGGTCATTTGTTGTAATAATTTTAAAAAGTTACCGCTCTGAACAGTCCCTCTACCGTATGGGAAGAAAAACAGTAACGTAGTGTGATTACATTTATCAGTGGGATACTGACAATCACTGTGAAATACTCACACAATGCATTGCTCTCCTACTACTGCTACTACAATAGGTCACTGTATGTTTACACACCAAAGTGGGACAGCGTAAGCTCACTTTTCTTCACTCCAAAGCTCCTTGAAGGGTCCGTTAACCTGCACTCGCTCTTCATCATCATCATCATACACGTTTTTTGTGAAGGAGACGGCCGACAAGATTGCTGGAAAAAGAAGCACTCCAAACCCCCATTCACCCAGGCGATGACTAAAATCACTCACAACTATCGGGCATTCCACAAAACTCATTTTTAAACAGGCCGTGTCTATAATCATCTCCGGATTCATCTCAATTTCAAAGGATGAATACGCTCTTTCACTGCTCCGGCATGTCTTTCTATTCAAAGGTGCCGGCCTCTTTTTCTTCGAAGGGGCCACCTGTGCGCCGTCTTCTAGCGGAGCCGGGCTGGCGGCCCGCAATGCACTTTTTAAATTTTTCTTTGGAGAGCTTTGTCATGAATGAATGTCCTGTAGAGCCTGTGGAACCTGTTGACCATCAGCCCAGTAAAAGCAGACCAGTGAGGGGTGAGGGGCGGTGGTTTGGGGGGTGTAGATGCTGTTGCACTATCTGAGAAGCACAAACAGTTTGGCACCTTGACAGCGGCCTCTGAAGGTTGCAATAGTGGTACATCATTGTAATTTGCTCTCCCAAAGCCTTTCATTTCAGATGTGTTTTGACACTGAGTAACATCCTCGTTCTCGTGGACTACCTTCATGTGCTTCACTGTTGGTACAACTGTGGATTCTGTTGCACTGTCTACAGATGAAGGCAACACAAAAATCAGCCAGCATTGTTCTCTAATTATTGTGTTACCACCACTAATCATAAAAACATTACGGCTGTTAACTTTGAAATTCGAATTGGAATGCGTTTGGAAGGACTGGAAGTCAAATTGGAAGTCAAACGTGTATCAGGCAACTTACCAAATGTTGTTTAATTATTTGACATTTCATTGTTAAATAAAATGTACTTCATCAAAACATCTAAAGAATTTTTTACCATGTCAGAGTACAAGTAAATACTTAGAAACTTAACTTTAAAAAAAAGAAGAAATACCTTCCAACCTTTCCAATACCTTTGCAAACTTCACTCTAAATAAACAAACAATTCCCTGGAATGTTCAAACTGAATATTGTAGAAAGGCCTCCGTGTGCATTGTTGATGCGGGGAGCGCCTGGCTGTGTATCCGTCTGCCATCTCAGAGCGTGCGGTTTGAATGTGAGCGCGTGCGTGTGGCGCCATCTTTCATCTTCAGCAGCACAGGCTCAATGTCAAGCTGCCAGCGCATAGATGTCTTTTGTGGTTCCCTGCCCACACACACTTTTGTAATGTAAAGATTCTGCGTCAGTGTGTCCCTGGAGGTAGACGACCACGCTGGGATGCCAAGACGACACCCGCACACACCTGTTCTAACATCACCAGAGCCCTTTGGTTGTTTTGCCGCTGCTCAACTACACGTGCTAGAAGGAGACGTGCTCGTAGACAACAAATACGGCGAGAGCCAAGTGAGCAATAATCACAATAATGGTAATAATCACCCACCGTCCGAGCAGGGAGGGAATGAAGTTTGAACGAATTACACGCACGCAGAGAATTGAGCTGGCGGCGGTCGGGCAGCTAACAATGATAAATTGTCCTTATCTGGGATCATATTGACAATAATTACTGAATTAATGTATTTGGTACAGTGTTGAGAGTGGACTCCATGAGACGCACGCAGAGGGGCCTCCGGCTGAGGGACGAAAGCAGAAGTGGAGTCTGTCCTTCCGCCGTGTGGAGTCGTTCCCCGTCATGTTCGCTTTCTCTTTCATCGGGGGCCAGACAGAGTTGTAATTTACAGGTGGTGCCAGGTTTCCTGCCATTCCCAATAAATTGGTCTCCATTTTTGTGACATCTGTGCTTTTGGAAGTATGATTTCTTTGATCTCTTCAGCCCTATACCAGACGTTTTCTGCTATGCCATTTTATATCATCAGTCTCTCAGAGGCCTCCCCTCCCTCCCCCCGTCTCCCTCTCTTTCTTCTTCCCCGTCTATCTCTCTTTATGTGTCATCAAACTGTCTTCCTCCCCTGTTCTTTATTTTTTTATTTATTTTCAGTCCTGTCACTTATCTTTTCTTCATCGCTTGTCTAACTTATCTCCCGGCTTCATCCTCTTTTTACTTTCACTTTTTGCTGTGCCGCTGTCATTATCTGTAAGGTATGTCATACCTTTGGTTGCATCTTAGTGATCTTAGACACCACATTCTTTGATTGAGTGTATGTGCCTGTTTAATGTAAATTATTGTGAAGAGTTGGGAAACTATTTAATTCTGTAAACCAGGTTTGGAAAGAGTTTCAGAGCGCCATAGTCACGTAAAAAGTACCGCTACTTTAAATTAGTACATAATATTTAGTCACATTGTCGGTTGCTGTTTGAAGACACAGCATTCAAACGTTGCGACTCCTCTGTGCCTCAAGAGTGCGCAGGAAGGAGCGAGAGCACAGTGAGGGCAAAGCAGGCTTGAGGGGGTGAATGATGAGAGGGACCAGAAATTTGCAAAAACCAAAGCTGCCAAGAGAAGGATGAGACCTTGTTTTTTTTCATTGGTTCACGGCGGTTACGTTCTGCACAAATAAACACGCAAACGCCTGCGTGCAAAACTTTTTGAAGGAATTTGAAGGAATGCAGCCCGAGTCAGGCTTCCAGCTGCTCTCCCTGTGTGCGTGTCTGGGACCTGGTCACGGTCGCAATCCGATACATCACCACACAAGTTACTTGTGTAACTTGTCGACGGTGAAACGCACATTTCCATCAAATGCTTGAATTCTATGAGGTTGAGAATGTAAATGATGAGCACTTCATTGCGCCACAAATTAAGTAGAATTACGCCAGTCACCGGGGGGCGGGGTCTTACCTGCTTTGCCCACACACTCGGCAGTCAGTCCAAGCTCTCAAGGCGTGGCTGCGTGCACGGCAAGCTGCCAACAGCTCATTCAAACAAGGACAGGCCCTCACAGCTCTGGAACACAATGCCCTGAACCCAAATGCAAGGGAAGGATTATGCAGACAAGGTGTTTAGCGCTTGTAAGTGGAACCAGCAGAATAAACTGCAGCACAGTCCTGGAAGAAGCAGAGAAATCTGTCACCATTAGCAGAGCTGGCTCCAACGGTCCGGGACTTGAATACACTCCTCGACGACGTGTGTGTGATACATTAGTCAAGGCCCCCCAGACAAAAAGGTTCTTGAACATCATGACCAAAATACGATCTGTGCATTTTAGCCATGTTGGAATCCATGGTTTGGCCTTCAGCTGGGTGGATCCTGGAGTTACCAATGGTGGACATGGAACAGTGAAGACGTTCAGAGATGAACTGAATATCAACTCTGAACTATATTTTTTAGTCTCTTACCCGTCCACCAGTCACCCGTCCCTCATTTGGCCTCAAAATAATAATAATAATAAAAAACAATAAATTTGAATTTCCTATTTGTTATTTGTGTTGATGTGTACTTATTCTTTAATAGGAAATAACAAGTATATAAGTGTTATAAGTAGTATAAGTATAAGTGTTATTGACACTCAGGGACAAACTGGGACAGTCACCGTAGTTTCAACGTGTCTTCAGGTTGGAGTCTTAAAGTAGTCATATGAGCAGGCAAACATTAAATACCTTAATACACATTCGGGATCTATAAAGAAAGCTTTAGTAGGCAGCGCTATCTTTAACACAATGTAACTCGTCCACAGTCATGATTTCACGCTCTCGCGCTGCTAAAATGACCAGACGCAACCTTAATCGACTGCTAATGAATCCCTAAGTCCAGCCCACAAGTCTTTATATCTGTCAATGAAAAGACGAGCCGAGAGGAATCATTGTGTTGCCGTGCATTTAAGTTGCATTGGAAAGAAAGATCCCTCAACAATGCTGGAAGAGCCATCATTAAGCACAGCTGTGGGTTTTTTTATAGCCACTGGAGTGTAATTAATTAATCATACATGCAGTCAACCATCACATTGACAGTAAAGGCTGTCACAGCGTTGCTCATTAAAATAAAAATCGTCTCACATTTGCAGGAAATATGGTGCAAAAATAACAGCAACGTCTCAGAATTAGTATTCATTCATCTAAGATGTAAACCGTTTGGCCCCAAGTGAGGCCGAGCAGTGGTGGCTCAAGCCAATAAATCCAATACGTGGATGTTTCATGGGCAGTCGCTCTGATGTCTTCAATCTGCAGGTTGCCATGGCTCTGCGGATTGGGCCAACTCGATGGCCAGATGGAGCTGCAATTATTCTCACTCCCGTTGGTCAGCTCCATTTCATATTGCACCGGTCAAAATGTAAATTTGAGCTATGACGGCAATGAAAAATATACATCCACTGGGGAAGGGCAAGCGCCGCTGTTTGAGAGCCGACCTGAGTGTTATTACATCCCGCCTGAGCGTGCTTCCAGTCACTCTTGTCTCCAAATATATGCTTTTCTTTTCTTTAATATGCAATGTGTCTGTATTGTATCATTTTTCTGGACAAAAAGGCTTAACATTGCCAAATTTGTTTCCAGGAACAACACAGTATCTTCAGCATAAAGCTACATGAACCTTTAATTTGCATTTCACTTTTTAAACCATGAAATGACACAATCTTATTCACAGCACACACTGTGATGTGGGTGGCTTAACACAATGCGTAGCCTAGTGTGTGATCGCGTGTCTCATGAACGTGACTAAAAACAGCCTCTGCGTTTGTTGAGGACTATTTTCAACCATGAATTCATGTTTGGTGATCTGGTGAGTAGTTCTGGCAGCAGGACGGCGTGTGTGGGGACTGAGTCAGAATGGTATTCATGGAAGTGAGGGACATGTCCCGCAGTGCAACAGTGGGACTCACTGGTGTATTTTCCATCACTTCTGGAAAACGATGGGGCTCTGTGGTGGAGCGAACTAAGCTGCAATGAGCTTTAACCAGGAAGCCAACAGTCGCAAAGGGTGAGCAGGCTGGAGTTGTTGGAATAATGGGTAATGTAATTACTTTTTTCAGTCGTTGATCACAGCTTTCAAAGTAAGATATATGGTCTGTGCAGGGGTCCTAATTACCATCCATGTGTCTGTGTGTATGTGTGTGTGTGCGTGACATAAGTGTATTCAACAGACTGACTCAACCGCACTGTCCGCTGGCACCTGAGTCTCGGCTGAACGACTTTGCTGCATAAACAATCCGACGCAAACACAACGCACACACTCGTACTCCATTCAGACACACATGGATACTCCCATCCTCCTCCTCTTCCTCACACATCTCTTCAACTCCCTCCTTCTCTCTCTCGTCAGCGCACCCTCCCTCTTCTTTTCATCTCCCGTGCTTTTTTTCCTCTATCAACCAGATGGCTGACCCATCTGCTCCCCATTTTTTCCTCGCTCTCCACCTCCGTCTCCCTCCCTGAGCACTGCGTGATTCGCGTGGTCCAAGTTCTGTATGCTAAGGACCCTCAGTTGCCTCGGACATTGTGCGCTCACAGTGGGGTTTGACTGTGTGTTTTGGGTATGCATCTGGTTGGTCACCCCCGCACTTTTGAAGATATTTCTGACGACGGCTCCTTTTGAAACTTGTGCTGTGTGTGTGTGGGTGTGCACATCTGCCTAGGTAGCCAAATTTGTCTGCGTGTGTATGCAGCATCCTGACCATCTGTTTTTGGTCAGGATGTATTTTTGGGTTTGGAAGGGAGGTGTTTATCGGATTATAGACTAAATTGGGTTTCGCTTGAGAGTGAAATGTACATGGGATGATTCGGTAAACACTGCTTCTTTACAGTACGAGTCAAAAGTTTCATTCAACTGGATGAGAAGGTGTGTCCAAACTTTTGGCTGGTACATCTCTATGCAGCTATGCCCCTCTTTGCTTGGCCATCGTTAAGAGGCGTAGTTTGGATTGAATTTTGGAAAAACACCATCTTGGTTTAGATGAGAAGATTGAACTTTTCGCTGTTTCGCTGTGTTCAAGGTGAACAAATCAACCCTCAATCCAAACAAAGATTAATGTTGCAGAAATCAAAAGGACTGCTCCTGGCTGAGACATATTCTGTAAAAACAATAATTTATTGTGGTTACATTAAGAATTTTGTACAAACTTGAAGGCGTTAATTAGTCAACATACTATTATTTATTACTTTTTTTTCTAATTACTTTACTGGTTTTTAAATCAACCCGTTTTTAAAACAAAATGAGAAAAGCCTACTTGTTTATTGTCGAATACAGAACACAATGAGGCAAAACAATAACGCAGGCTATGCTAAGCGCCTTTTCTCCGAGATTAAAAGGAAGGATTTGCTTTCTCAGATATAGTTACTAGTACTAAAATAGTTTTTCCTGTTATTTTCTATTATGTGGATTGCTTCACTGAAAAAGAAATGTATATTTTGAGCAGAAATATCTATATACCATGAAAAGCAAGCAAGCCTGAGCTAAAACGATAAGTTACATCCAGCTTCCTGTTCCATTCAGCACCCAGGTCAGCGCCATATGGCCCTGTGCCAAAAACCTGACCGTATCACTTCACACAGCGGGAGGACAACATTTCATAAATCACAAACCTGTGCAGGGGTTTGAAGTTTTCAGTAGAATCTTGTGGGGGCCGCCATCGCAGATGGCTTGTCAATAGCACAGTATTGAAATGTAGAGATCATGCTTAACTGTTTTTTTTTACCTTCTAAGCTAACACTCTCTCGATTGTAGCTTCATATTTAGCGCGCTCATTCTTTGTTTACAATTTGTTCTCTGCAAGAAAGCAAATAATCATATTCCTCTCCCCCAAAAAGTCACACTATTGCTTTCAAAATGAAAGGCCAACGTGTGATGAGACTGGTTGTAAACACGCCACATGATTTCTAAGAAAACCCTGAAATGAGTGCACCCAAAGCAGGAAAAGTAAATGGTAAATGGTAAATGGACTGTACTTGTATAGCGCTTTTCTAGTCTTCCGACCACTCAAAGCGCTTTAACACTACATGACATTATTCACCCATTCACACCCATTCATACACTGATGACAGGAGAACCATACACAGTGACACCTGCCCATCAGTAACTAACATTCATACGCTGTAGTCGCAGCTACAGGAGCAATGTTGGGTTAAGTGTCTTGCCCAAGGTATAACAATTGAATTATTAACAAAAGTGACAAAGCTGTACAAATAGACTCTGGTTCGTAATAAAGGACATTTGAATAGTTCAAAGAAGATGACGACACTGCTGCCTGGAAGGCTCGCGGGCAGCTCCACACGTTACCGCGTCTCCAGTCACCTTCACCTTGCATCTTCTTCGTGGGTTAGATTAAAAAAAACAATAACACTGCCGAGAGACGTTTGACTGACAGGTGGGCATGCGGCGGCCTTACAAAAACACAGAGACAAACATGCAGACACACATACCCCCCGAGAAAAGACGCACGAGCCCCGAGACATGCTTGGGCGCAGAGCGAGACAGACAGCATGAGCCCGAGGAGCAGAGCGATTGCTCCAGACACACGTGGCAAGAGCCAACACAGAGGTGGGGGGGCTGGAAAAGGCAGAGCAGACAGTCTGATGGGCTTGCTGGACAATCACATAGATGGACTAAATGAGAGACAGAATTTTTGCTATGCAAGTCCTTACTGCCTCGTTCTGATGTGAATCTTTAAGCAGAAGCACGGAAACAGGGTAAAAAAGGAAAAACAAACAGTTTTGACATTTTCAAAGAAATACAAATAAAACGCGGTAAGGTAACCTTCAACAACTCAAAGCGCTGTTTGTGTTTCATATGCGGAGACAGTGATATTTGGCTTGGAGATGGAAGACTCTGATGGAAGTCGTCTGAAAGAGAGCAAAGGGTGACAGGACAATTCTTCAGACGTTCTGCCTGTTCAAATATTCAATAAAGGACAGAAAATGAATGTGAGAACACACTCAGGAATCCTCCACATGCATCTGATGGATGGTGCTCTCACTTTCAGGGCTCTGTACACGTTGGCAGAGACACACCTGGCGGGGAGACAGTCGGCACCTGGAGACCTCAGGTGTGGTGAGACAATGCAGAGGGTGGAGGGTGTTATGTCCAGCCCTGAGTATTAAGTTAAGTTGGCGGGCTATTTATAATTCTTCGGTTATGTGTTATTGTTTACTCACCTCTCGTTTCAGATTCCTCACTCCCTCCCTCAGGTGTGTGGGTTCCACCTGGGTGATTGTCAGCCCCTCCCTGATTGTTTGCACCTGGCCCTCATCACCCGGTGTATTTAGTCTGTGGGTTCCTGTCCTCTGTCGCCAGTTCGTCTTTGATACAATGTTCCTAGCGTTCCAGCATTTACTCCTGATAGCCTCCCTGTTACCGACCCCTGCCTGGTTAACGCGTTACGTCTCTGCCTTTTCCCTGCCGGATACCTTGCCTGGTGATCGACTGCCTGCCCGTGTACCGACCTTGGACCGGAACGTTTACGACCTTTGCACCTACCTGCCTCCTGTCGGATTCTTACACCCGTGTTTGTACTGCCATCCAACAGTAAAATTGGTTTACTGCACCTTCTTGTGTCTCCGAGTCGTGCAATTGAACCCACACACTTGTCTGCACCCTTTACAGAGGGAGGGAGGGAGGAACTGTGCTCAAGTGGAAGACCATCAGAAAACCCGAGGTCCCCCGATGCACAGGATAAAACCGCACGGAAGAATCGGGGCGCGGTGGCCCTTGATGCCGTCCACTTGTGCGCACACAGCCTGCACGGACTCTGCCGTGCAGGCGCTCGCCATCCACCAGATACAAGTGCATTGCAGACGCCCCCACGGGCGGAGACAGGCGTGCAAAATGCAATCCCCCACATGTCGACGGGGCGCCACCAACGCTACTCTAACTCACCTTGGCTGGTGCGAGGAGTCTTGGCAGTTGATAGGAGGAGGAAGTAGGAGGGAGAAAGTAGGAAGGAGAGGAGCAGATTGTGTCACTCAGCTTCACAAGGCCGGGTCGGATGTCCAGCCCCCCGTGTGCCATAAAGAATGGTTCTTTAAAAGGCTGCGTCGATCCACAAAGAAATGTGACTGACTGAAGAACCATCTTATCTATTAGATGGTTCTACATGGCTTACATAATGTTCTTCAGGATATTAAAGGGTTCTTCCTCCATCTTTGATGTTTTAGGATGGTAAACATTTGCAACGAGAAAAATAATCGGGGGACAGTTAGTTGGCAGGACATCCGGCCTTGTGAAGCTGAGTGACCCATCTGCTACAGTACAGTATATACATATGTTGTTTGTGTGCCAACAAGAACCTGGGGACAATGGATCTTAAAGAAAAAACATTCTTTATAGGCCCAAAGGGTTCTTCAGCTAATGATTCTGGTATAGCATCCCTATGAAGAACCATCTTGGATTGTAGGTAGAACCTTCACTTTTCTGTGCTGCGTTAAACCTTTATTAGTCCAGAAAGTTGGACCTCCCCTAAGCGGACTTCAGAACCAATTATGCAGGAAGATGGCAGCTTTGGGGCTTTGGTCCACTTAAATGGGCCTAGGGGAGCGATTATCAAAACTGAGCAAATCAAGCAAACTAATTTTATTTAAGGCCACCAGAATCGGTGCGATTTGCAGATAAAGAGGAAGCCAGCCGAAAGCTTCTTGGAGGGCTTTTCTTCTCCTGAGTTCACCATAAACTCATTTACAGGAATAAGACTAGCAAAAGGTTAAGTTAAAGACCGAGACCATGAAAGAGTTTATATCTGTTTGGAGGTGAAAAATATATATATTTATGAAAGGAGCAACTACACAAACCAAAGTGTTTGCACACTCAGAAGTTAGAACACTTTCATGGTTTATGTTCAGGGACGGAAACACCACCGCCCACTGCGGAGGAGACATTGTATAAATACACCTGAACAGTTTGACAAGGCTGTGTTGGAGAACTACAACCCGTGGCTCTAAATATCCTCGATGAACAGTGGCACCGGAAGACCTTCCCCAAGCAATAAGAACCACCACCGAATAGTTAGATGAAGGGGATTGTAGCAACAGGAACGGTAGGGATTACAGGCAAAGGCAAAGCAAAGTCCGGGCTTACCCTCATATGTTTAAACAAGAGAGGGGGGGGGTAGCAAATTTGCACAAAGGCCTTGGAGGAAACAGATGGGAAGTGGAGGAAACACATATCGCTGAGACATAGCGAGAATTTTAACATACTACACTGCCTCTACTAAAATACACCTATACTCAAGGGCAAAGTCAACTCTGATAATAAACAATGATATTTTGCAAATAAAAAAAGATGTTGCTTTCAATAAACAGAGAAAACGTTCCCACTTGCATTCCACCGAAGGCCACTATTGGTGGAGTAACTCGCATCACTGCATCATCCACGAGGGTTTTGCCCGTATAGAACAGTGTAAAACCGCGAGCCCTGATACTGTGGGGGAGCCCTCCAACACAAATCAGACGCTTACCTTTGAGGTTATAGATTTTTGCAGTGTCTATGTCTGCAGTGGATCCACAGAATCCCAGAAAACAAAGTGCATTGCGGAAAGGCCTTTTTTCTCTCAAAAATCCAACGTTTTGACGAGTTGGCACAGAAGGGGAGGAGCAGGTGGAACTAATCACATTAATGATGTGTCTTTTCCATTGAGAGGTCCCGTTAAGCCACTGGCATGGAGTCAGCGTGCACAATATCAGGACCCTGCAACAACCACCCCTCAATGCAATCCAGCTGTTTTTGATGCTATTAGTTACACCTGCTTTCCCAGCCGTGACTACTTGGAATATATGTTCCTGAAAGAAACAAAGTCTCCAGACCATTTGCAAGCTGGCCATTGTCACACGCGGGCTTAACTAATAACGTCAATGACATCTGCATGCCATTTATGTTCTTCCTCTTCCAAGGCTCGGTTATTTTGCATGCCGGCTCTCGGTGATGGTACACTGATGCAGTGAGATGAAATCAAGCCATTAATTGTGCAATTAGTTACATCTGTGCCTCCCATGCTACCATCAAATACTACCCCCACCTTTCTACTAGATTTTTACCTTACGTTTCCCGCAAACAATGGTGCAAATGAGCGGCTTGTGGTGACCACAAAGTGCCACAAATACTCGACCCCTGCTATCCCCCACCCACTAAGCTTCCACTGGAGCCCACACTGTCAAGATTTGAACTCCCTGAATTAAGATTATCATATACTTCTGTGGTGTTGGACATTATTCCGTTTTTACGGTTTAATTGGCAATACATTTGTGGATTTTTTTGTGCAGCCAACCACTTGCTGCAGGTTTCCGCCAAAGAGCCCCTAATTAGCACTCTGTCAGGTAGAAGGAGAAGAGCTCATCCGCTCAGTCACCTGCTGAGGAGAGCTGCTAGAATGAAAAGCTGCTGGCTTTTGGCTCTCCATGGCATATGGTCCCCCCCTCTGCCCACCCTCACCCCAGTGAGAGTACACATCCCTGTGTGGTGTCGATCTGTACCGGGCATCGTCTCATCAGTTCTCACCCTCATTTTAAAGTCACCTTGCTTTTGAGTCACACCCTATAGGAGCAACATAGACACACGAAATGCATTTGTGACGTGATTTTTTTTCTAATCAATGGCAGGCGATCTACTGCACTGCCTTTGCGGCTTTTCCTCTCGTCTTCTACCTAATCTTGCATTAAGAATCTTGCTTTCAGAAGAAAAGCCTCTGTTCATAAAGTTATCCGTTATAACAAGATACTTGGACAGTTATTCCTTTATTTTCTCTGTGCATTCCCGCATCTTTCGATAGTACGCTGTACAAAAGGTCTGTGTGTCAAGTGCAGATACAAATGACTTCACCTGCAATCGATGATCAACTACTTTTTCTCAGTGGGGACCTCAATTGTAGTGGACCATTTTGGGGATTTGGAGAAATAGCTAAACTCTCTGGGCCGTTCACTTACTGAGCTGAACATCCGCCCACTTCATGATATGTTCGTATTGTAGTTTCGCTGGGACCATTTCTTTGGTGGAAAAGAGTTCAAATTGAAAGCATTTACAGGGGGCCCTGCAGATAATAACGTGTAACCAAGACGGGATGTTTTTTATTGCTTTCTGTAGCAAAACATGGTGTGTTGGTCTGCTGTAATACATTGACCACACAATGATCAATAATGATGATGATCACAATGACCAATGAGTTTTAAGCTACACAACAAACATCTACTCTACACTTATTACAAATGCTCTGCAGCCAGGCGTTGTTTGAAGACAGACTATTTTATTTTAAGCTCTATAGCTGAGATCTCATCTTTTATAAATGGACCAAATGTGTGAGGCTAAAATCCTGGCAATTGTTTGTAAAAGATTATGTACCAGATATTTTTGGAAATTCCATGTGGTATAATAATGCTGCCATACCAATGTGGAGTCTTTACTTATTTAACCTTGTAAAGAGAGTAGTCGCAACAAGCCAATACAGAATATCAGGAATCAGGATCAGGAAACATAATATATGGCATTTCCAGACACCGTGATATATTTAAATACATTTTTAAAATATGTTTTTTTTTCCATCCTTAATAGGGAAATCAAACGAGTTCAAACATCAAACGCTGTTTTCTTGAGGATTACAATAGTTTTTTTGAAGCCCTCAGCGGCTCTGGATCTGTTACAAAACCTTAAGTGACATCACTTGAGACTGAAACTATAAAAAATGAAAAAAAGAAAGAAGCAAGCAAGCTACATTAGCCGCTACTTGCACAAAACACCTGAATCTCCCGGACCCAACTGTTTGCAATCCAGCTGCAGTGTGGTTAATGTACATAAGGGCTTTTCACAAAGGAGAAGAATGCATGGAGCAGAAAAGATGGCATCAGTGGTTCTGCTGCATCAATTTCACAGAGCTAAATCAGCATACTACTTTAAAGTGACTTAAGGACTGCTAAAAGGAAGGGGGGGTAAAGTGGATTTCAAGGGGTGAAACTAAGCTGCAAAAGAAGTGGCGTTTCAAAGCAGAGGAGGAGGGCAAAACAGTCTCATCGAAACATTAACCTATGTATAGGATTAACATCCCATTCCTTACGATTGTACATCCAGATGTGGGAGCATCGAGTGGGAGGGCGGAGGGGAGAAATGGGACAGATTGAGCCTATACCATTTGCATCTCAGCATGCAGTGGCATAGCGGAGATTAACCGGGACTAAAGGCAAATCACAGTCAGCTGCAGAGCAGGTGACCCCGAATGTGTGAAGCATGCGCTCCGAAGAAGGAATCATGCAGGGTGGTTGCGGATCAGGAGGTGCGCGGTTGCTGGCTCTCACTGGCAAAAGCCCGAGTCAAAGGGGAAGCCTGAGATCTGAAATAGAGTGTTTCAGAGAAAGAAACATGAATGGCCTGAAGCGTTTACACCTGGAGAGTCCGGCTTAAATAAAGCAACCCTCTTACCACACAACCTGTGTGATAATATCAAGAGGTCACGGGGCTGAGTAGCAGAAGCCGCGCTGTCTTTGTGTCCACGGATAAAGAGCCGAGGCTGCCGAAGACGCTAAGTGCTGCTGCTTGGGGGGGACCTTGGAGGGGCACTGGGAAGAAAGGGCACCATTCAACTGAATCATCAGGTCAAACTATGTAACGAGAGCCGGAGTCCTGAGCATAAGGCAAAAAGGGTAGAGAAAGTGGGTGAGATGTAGAGGGGAGGGTGAGGATGGGGAATGCTGCATGCGCAGGAGGGGGGGTGGACAGCGTATATAGCACGGCAGGATGAGGGGAAGTTGCTGATAGAGGGATACAGACTTAAAGATGGTAAATTGGATGTGGCAGGAACAAATGGGGGGAAATGCTTGAAAGACTGAAAAATAAAAACATTTATCTTTACCACCGCAGTGCTTCTGAAAACATCACAGACACAGTTACACAAACGAGGCCAACTGCTCGGCACTCAAGACTTTGGCTCACAATTCACACCAAATTCCCCCAATGGCAGAAGAAATGCAGCAGGACACACTGATAGAGAGGCAGTCGAAAAGAAAACAACAATCTGCCTCGATTTTCTTTGTGCCGCAACAAGGAACCACATTGACCGTAGACGACGTCTCCAATTTTACAATGCCGACTCGTGACAGAGCCCTGGTGTGTAATTAAACTGCCATTTCCATGATCTAGTCCATTAGCTTCTCCTCCTCGACTCTGTCATTCCCACAGCGGTGACAACCTGGGCTATTGTTTGCGATCAGAGAAGCTGAACTTCTGAAGGGGGTCATTACTCATTTCTGGCATTTGTTTCGGCTCCGGAAGAGAACGCCATAAATTATTTCACTCACGCACCGTCCCATTGCCAGCGCTGCGTGTCAATCACTTTCGGGGAAGGCACCCCCCTCCTCTTCCTGTCAGTTCCGTCACGTCCGGCCCTGCGGATCATCTATCAGTGGGCGATCGTCCGGTTTGGACGGCTACCCTCCGTTATTACCCTTGTGTCTCGGGGCTGCAGCTGAATCACAATTGCCGAGTCGGTGATAAGCCAGGAAACTGAGTGGGCCGAGTCCGGGTAATGAGCTCCGGGGTGGGTAATTAATGCCTCCATTTTCCCACGTCCGTATCACCAGGGGGTAACGTAGCATTGGGATCAGGCCAGAGGGGAGGCGGGCAACTGGCCAAGGGCACAACAGGGGGGATTAAGTCAATGTGAAGCGGAAGAAGGAAAAAGGGATGGATGGAGGGAGAGAAGAGAGATGGGGGGCTCCTAGCCTGGATGAAGAGTTGTCCCTCATGAGATGGGTCTTCCGCTGGGGCCGGCTACCACAGCTCTGAGTGACACTTCAAACCGACAAAGAACACACTGCAGGGTCGTACTCTTCTGTCAGAATTATAAAGCAGAAGCGCCCACAAGGGGAAAAAACGCAGTCCAAAAGCTGCATTTTATAAAGCAGAACCCCTCTCCTACTTTTCAACGATTTACGAAAATGACAACCTACACAATTCAGAATTTCCACTGACGCCGTTATAGAAGGTAAAAGGGGCTAAGCACAAAGCAATAAAGACAGATATACATCTGTATATTACACATTTTCCTTCAACATGTAGCAACTAAGTCTGTCGGTGGGGGGGGATGGGGGGGGGGGGCTGTTTTTTTTTTTTTTAAGAGAGAGAGAGAAAGACCGAGACCGACCGAGAGAAAGAAAAAGCCAGGAGCCACATGGGAGTAAGCGGAGGGACCTTGGCAGCCACCATCGCTCTTGCTGCACGTCTTTAGCCGTGGTCTCCCTGACCCGGCCTGCTGTTTGCCTGGGGGCCAGGCCCCCCCGCTGCTGACCATAAAACAAACCGACAGGCCCCATTTGTACAGTCAGGTGTCATGACAAGGGATAAACACTTGCGCCGCTCCAGGCCTCAGGAGGCACAGTGTGCGTTAATGGTAAGGTGCTCCTCAGCTCCCATGAGCATCATCATCACCATCATCATCACCGGAGCGCCAGGAGCTCCAAGGTGCATGCTGGGAAGCGGGGGCGCTGCTCGCTTTAACAGGCTGCGTCCGTTCGTGTCAATGAATTGATTGAGTCCAAAAAATAGAAAAGAAAATGGAATTGCCCGTAAACATTGCTGGTCGCGATTGGAGCCGACGGGAATGACAAGAGCGTTGCCGTCTTCGCGGGGGGGGCGGAACCTCCGCGACGACTGTTTGTCAGAAGCGGCGTGCGTTCAGTGCGCGCTGATTATGTGAAGCCCGGGAAGCCTCGAGGGGGGGCAAGAGGCAGCCAGTAGGGAGTCATTACCCAAACCAAATAGACTCTTCGTCGGCTGTTTTGTTTTTTTCTGTTCGAGTAAAGCATCAACAGGAACAACCAATAGCTGATAAGATGCGCCGCCCCCTACCGAAGGTCCCATTACAAACGCCTTGGGAAGGAGAAGTCCCTGAAGAGTGGTCGGGAACCCTTAAGGACCGTTTAGACGGGATCTGCTGCCTGGGACCGAGGACCCATTTGTCCAGCGGACAGATGGCAGCACGTGGGCTGGGGATTTGGTGACGCTGGCATCGACCAATATCCAGCTGGTCTGTTTTTCATAGCGGTATGTCTAATTTGGGAGGGAAAACACAATTTTTTCCTTTTTTTTGGGATCCCCCCCCCCTTCCCACAGAGACACTTTGCCCTGAAGCATCCAGCGATAACAAGATAAACGACATCGTTAAGAGGTGTAAAGTATCGGTTTACAATTACTTAGTTTATTTGCTTTGTACGCTTTTATATTATAGTTCCACTAGACAAAACAAAAACTACGGTATCCACCAAGTGTGGGGTTCTTCCTCTGGGAACCATGAGCATATGTGCAAAAATATCTGCAAACCTATCCAATAAACACATACATGTAATGTAAAATAAAAGAGGAAATTCAAAACGTGTTTGTGACGCCGTATTTCATGTGAAGTTAATTCACTAAGAAGCTCACCACACCCGCTCATTTCTATTTATCGAAATCCCATTTCTACTCCGTCAGCAGACTGCTCACCTGTGATACTAGTTTTTAACCCTGATTTGCAAGTGCACGCGCTTCGGACGTCCACCCCGTCCCCTGCATTAGTGTCTATATCCAACTGTGAAACCCGGCGACAGGGCGCGCACATCGGCGCGAAGCAGCGCCCATCCTCAGTGTCGGGGGGGGGGGGGGGTTAAAAGAAGGAACAGCACGCTTCCCATTAAAAGACGTGTTTCTGCCGTGCGGGCGGAGGCAGGGAGCATTACCAATGAAATGTAAACGCACCGTTACCACTCAGGAGGCACAATTACTGAGGCTGGCGGTATGCAATTAAATAGTGCTGTTTAGACAGCGCTAATACACGCAGGACACACAGGGGCGACAAAACACAAAGGGAAAAAGGGATGTACCTCACAACCCCACAGCTGGGGGAACAGATGACTGAATGTAAACAGCAGCGGTGGGGAAACGACTATTGGAACAGAGGAGAGTGAGCAGATAAAACTCTTTAAAAAGGGTCAATTCGGAGGCATGCCGCTCACCGCCTCGAAACCTGCAAAAGGTGGAATAAAAAAAAAAAAAAAGCTGCACTCTTCAGGAAAAAAAAAAAAGAAAGAAACTTCACAGGTTTTATTGTTGAAGATCATTTTCCAGTGTGGGGTCCAAATTAAACGTATGCAGAGCGAGCACCGCATTCCTCCCACACGGCATCAAAGCGTGTCGGCCCCTGAGATCTCCCTCTGTGCCGGAGGAGCTCGCTGGCACCGCTGGAGATGTACAATAAGAAGACAAGTAATACAAGTGGAAATCAAGTTTTTATTTTTATTCATGTGTCAAACCATACTGACATTTTAGAACATCCTAAACACTAGTAGAAACTCCCAACTCTCCCCAGTCGCCCCTCCACCCCCACGATACGACACGACTAAGCCTGCCCCTTGTACTGCTGGTGCAGCATGAGCACGTCATCCTGGGACACCCTGGTCCACCCGTCGCTGTGGACGTGGTACAGGTTGACCTGCCCCCCGCTGTAGGCGTCGCGGAACGTGGCCTGGTAGATGGCGCGGCGGCCCAGCTCGCAAGCCTCCTCCACCGTCAGGTCCTGCCGCAGGCCGCTGTCGATCACGCCGTAGGCGTACATGGAGCCCGAGCCCACGGCGAACAGGTCGCCGCACACGCGGTTGCCCTCGGAGTCGACGTAGTAGAGCCCTGGGGAGGACAAAAAGGCATGTCAGGAGGGTAAGGGGAGGAACGTCCTTCGTTCCCCTGGCTCAGGTGATGAGCTACGTCAGGCAGGCTGAGAGCGAGAGAAAGAGAGCGAATAGGAATAGCTGCAAGCTCTCAAAGTGGAGTATGGCTGGCCGATATGAACAGCCTCACCCCTTCATGTAAAAACCAAGCCAGACGTGGAACCTGCTGACAAGGCACGGGCAACATCGTTGCCCCGGGGGCTCAGCTCCGGGTCTCATTGATCCGCAAACAGGCCAAAATTGAACTATCGACCAGCAACCCAGATCCGTGAAAGTGCACTCCGCATAAGGGAGCAGCAAAGGGGGAAAAAATGAAATAAAAACAGCGTGCTCACATCTTCTGGACATGACACATTCGTATCCTCACACACACTCCAATTGAACATTTCCCTGGAACCTCAAGGTCCACGCACACGCGCGTGCAGAAAGACCCAACAGACCTGTGAGCGACAGTTTGCTCCACGCTTCATGGACACACGCGTGTCGGTATCCGTGACACACTGGCTCGGGCCTTAACCCTCAGAGTGACGTGGAGTGGGTGACAAGCCAGCCCCAGCTTGTAAGCCCGCCCACGCCCGGCCCCGCAGATGGTGAAAAAAAAAAAAAAAAAAAAAAGACAGCCTCTGAAAAAAAAGCATGTTTTTCACAGCTCTGAAAACCTGTGAAAATTATACTCTTGCAGAGAAATGCACGCAGGAAATTTCCCGATATCCACCGCTCAATCTCCCACATTAAAAAACACTCCGAAAATGCCCTTGGACTGCACATCCTCGCTTGCCGACTAAACTAGTGACAGTCTATTACGGATGAGAGCCACTTGCTCTTTTGGGGGAGAAAAAAAAGAGGGAGCATCTTACCATTGCTTTCAACTGGCAAATTGCAACTTCCTCAACCCGTCGTTAGCTTGCCATGATAATCATCCCGTGCCTGTCTATGCAGGGGGGTAATTTGCCATTCTGAGACCCGTCTGTTCCTCTTGAAAAACTAAGGGACTCGTTAAAAACATAACAGACGGGGAAGGGGGGAGGCCTCTCGTGTCGAGTGTGACGGTGGTGGATGAGGACTCTTTAGGGGGTCCAAGTATAGCTGCCGAGCGGCACCAAAAAGCACTTTCCACATCCATTTCCCTTCCCAAAGACACCTGGGTCTTTGTGGATCCCGACGCGCTTCTGCTTAATGGGCTCTGCGCTTCAAACACTGACGTAGAAAAGCATGCAGCCACTGATGAATGCCGAGAAGAAAAAAGGTGTGGAGCATTGCAGCCAACAGACTGCTCCCACTCAGTCAGTCCCCTGACAGGTGCTTAAGGAGCCCTGCAGCTGGCCGGGGGTGGGGGTGGGGGGCGGGAGGAGCACAGGCTAGCATCAACTGGGTCAGTGTCGCCCTTCCCACAACAATTCACCGCTGGATCGGGAGCATAACAAGAATAAATTAAAAAATAGCAGCAGCAGTTGAACAGACCTGGGGGAAGAGGGGGGGGGCTACCTCGAGGGAGTGGTGGTAAAACTGACACATGGGTCTTCTGGCAAGGTCTCAAACCCCAATGTGGATTTTATTTGTTTTGCTCATGGGGGGGAGCAGCATTGCACTGCACACATCCCCTTCATGTCCTTGTGAGGAGCAGTGCAGGGGGGGGGCGCGCCGCAGAGAGGAGTCTTTCGGAGAGCAAGGCCTCCACGGAGTTATCAAGCATTTAGCGTACACTGATTACGAGTGTCATAGTATTCAGTTTTATTGCATACAGGCGGTTTTGACATCTTCCTCAACAAGGACGTTATTCGATTTCTCTCACACGCAGCTTCAGACACCGACTCCATCGAGGGAACGAGGGCTCTTGACTTGATGGTAGCCGGCTAATGAGCTCTCCGTCTAATCAAGATTGATTTATTTACATGACATTTGGCTCTACAGTCGGCCATTGGCATCATGGCGGCCGTTGCAGAGCGCCACGCACATGCTGAACCTACGCAGGGATCATTATTTCCCGGATTGATAGCTCAGGACTTGACGCACGCCATTCGGCACACGGGCGGGCCAACATTTTTTGTTTTGTCTAGCCCTCTCTGCTCCGCAAACGAAGCCTGTATTGATTGCCGTGGGGTGCACGTGCATTACGCCATCCGATCCAATTGTCCGGAACCCGGCGTCCATCATGGCGCCGCATTCTGGCCGGCGCGCGGTCCCGGCTTCATTGATTTCTCATTACTGGGTCAGTGTGACAGCCTCTTTAAGCACACCTTCGGTGATGTACGGCCTCACACGGCGTGGTGGTGGTCGAAAAGCCGCGCCGTACAAGAGGCTGCAGTACCACCAGGTGGGGAGGTCTGGGAACTACGTGGGCTTACGGTTAAAGCACACACAACTGGGAAGCCATATGAATTGACGGTCCCTGCATGAAAGGGTTGTACATTGAAAAGAAAAACTTACGTTCTTTAAAATGATCTCATGATTAAATGTTGATTGTCAGTTCTTTCTTGTATCAAGACAGTTGAAGTCCTTATCCTGCACTGCAAGAACAGAGCTATATATAATGTCTTATAATATTGAACAGCTAACCACTCTAGTTAAACCAGAGTTTGGAAAGTAATGGATGCAATTAATATGTTCTTTAAGGCTAAAGCACATGGCAGGTCTTTTGTGACCAATACCCCTGAAACTGTATTTAAATGAGTGAATTATTTTTGCTCCTTGCACAGGCTGTAAATCTAAAGTAATGTGTGAAAATTACAGGGTGCGAGTGGGCAGTTAATGTATGCGTCGATACAGGTTTGATTAGGCTTGATCAGCTCATGTTTCAATGGTGTTGCTCATTTTCTGTATTTTTATTTGTTTTTAGACTGCCGGATGGACAAAGGAGGACATCACCTTGGGCAGACGTCGTTCTTTTTACAAGGAGAGCGCTTTCATATACAGGGGTTGTATTTACCTGGGCCTCTCTTGTCCCAGCCGCACACCATGGTTCCCATGCTGAGTCCCATGCCCTTGTACTGGTACACCATGTTGGCGAGCAGCTTGGAGGCCGCCGCCACCGAGATGCGCTCCTTGTTGCGAAGCTCGTAGATGCGGCACTGGCGGGCCAGCAGGCGCTCCCAGAAGCTGCAGTCGGCAGCTCCACCGGCCATGGTGCCCAGAAGGTAGGGGTTGATCTCAATCACCTTCTTAACCGTCTGCGAGGCGATGTAGGCGCCCGCTGTGGCCCGAGAGTCCACCGCAACAATGACGCCATGCTGGAACTGAGAGAGGCAGCCCCAGGAGGGAAACACATTAATGGCAGTACACAACTGCAGAAGGGGGACACTCACACCGATGGATCAGCGATCGGTTTTATTCCCCATGAGCTACCTTCTATTCCTATCTAGACAAAGCAAGCATGTGCGGCTGTTCTGGAACTGTGCAAGAAGAGATATACGGCTAAGCTCGGTCTGAAAGCTGCAGGATAAAAAGACCTTTGCTCCCTCTAAAATCCTCCATCAGTTAAGTGGCAGTAACAGCAGCTGTACGGCACTAAAGACAGCAGATTTCGGTCAGCGAGAGGAAGCAGTCTGCTGGAGAGGTTTTCATCCCCCCCCCCACACTCAGGGATTAACGGATAAAGTTGATTTATTTTATCTTATTTTTTTCCACAAGCGACAGCAGGAGACTTGGTCCAGTATTTAGATGGCTCTGCACTTCTCAAAGGGGAAAAGCTTCACTGTGATAACAGCATATGCCCCCAAAATACGGCTTTATTATGAGTTATAGTGCCACAGAACACTATGGTGTCCTGTGGCACAGAGGCAGAAGGTGTTTCATACTATAATCTTGTTAGTTGCAGGAATTTATTGCTGTGCTCTGTTATTTTGTCCTATGAGATTACAGTCCTTTTTCTTTCAGTGGAACGCAAACACCTCTGACCTCTTTTCTTAGACTTGTTTAACCCTTTGCAGCCCAAATCGGCAAGAACACTTTATATTTTCCATTCTCTTTTTTTTATATGAATTCCCACCTTATTCTTATTTTAGAGTTTTATTTATTGGATACTCCTGGTGTATTTATTTGATGTCTAGTTCTGAACAAATATTCAGATTGTCTGATATTGAAACAAAAGTGAAAAAATATTTAAGTAAAAATCTTTGACATACTTTAAAAATCCGTGGCGCAGCTCAATATCCATGTATTGGAACATAGTTTAATTAGGGATGAAAAAACATTTTCCAGAATGCAAAACTTTTTTTTAATCTGGCATACGGTGTTTTAATGACTCAACCAACGTTATGTTGAACGCGTTGAAACAGTTAATAACTTTTATAACACGCCTTATAGCAATACAACAAATCACCTATACCTATTGCAGATGAAACCATTTCGTTAACAATCAAACTAAAATATGTATAGATAATATACATATTGATCAGATGCATAACTAACGTTATGTCAACATAAGGGATGAGTAGATGATGCACAAGCGCCATTTGCAGGACTGTCGCCTTCCCATTCATGCTCCCGGAAAGACTATAATGCATCTGGGACACGGTAAAGCTGTGAAGTCCACACAGTGATGACTAGCTTACGATCACCGACCGGCTTTTGGAGCTAGACACGATTAACAAAAGTCACCACAACGCTGATGGTGAAGTGAACGTCTGCAATGAGAAAGCGGTTTGTAGCTATGCTAGCATGCTAACGGTTACATGCACCAGTCAACGTAGCGTATGTTGAATCCTTCAAAATATAACGTACCAAACAAACACCTATGTTAACAGCTACTATGATTCGTTTACGTTTAACAACAGATTGCTACAATTAGCTAACATTAACTTACTTTAAAAGCCAAAGTGGTGGTCCCATGCAGGAACTCTATTTTCCTCTCGACTCCGTCCTCGTCTCCACCACACAGAGGGTTTCTAACCGAGAAACTGAGGCCGTTTCCCGGCGTGGCGTCTAATCCCAGGCCACTCTGTTCGGGTCCGCAACCAAAGCCAGAAGTTTGACAATTATCAAAAGAAAAATTCGCACAATCACGGTTCAACACACTAGCAAGTGCCATCTTTGAAAAATAGTCCGATGAACAAGCAACTTCCGCCGGACACGGGGCGAACGTTTATTGAGTCGAGGTGTGAAACCCCGCAGCGCCCCCTGCTGTTGGGCGGACAGCGGATGTGCTGTTGCGATGAAAGGATAGATGAAAACATGAGATTTTAGAATGAAGGCTAAAAAAAGCTTGAAAATACTTATAGTAAAGATTTATTCTAGCTATCTGACAAAAGTGGATGAATTGAGGGAGATTCTAAACTCCTAAACCTAAACTATACCCTCAGCCACCTCCTGAACCGACATTGTTCTACTTCATCCCGAATCCTCTGATGCGGTCCCTCTCTTTCTTTCCTCCGCTTTTTTCTCCCTTCCCTCCATGTCTCTGTAATATTCCTCTCTCAGGTCCTCTCTCTTCCTTTGGCTCCAGCCTAGGGCTGTGATGTGGAAGAGGTCCACGCTGTTCCCCGAGTAGGCGTCCCTGTGAGTGGCTCTGAACACTGCTTCCCTTGCCAAGGAGACAGCCTCTTCTTTACTTAGGCTCCACCTTAGTCCTCCATCCAGGACTCCATAAGCATAAGGAGATCCAGAGCCCACAGAGAAGACGTCCCCCTGCAGCCGGGCTCCATCGCTGCACACATATATTAGCCTCGGGCCACTGTTGGGCGATGTGGAATGTGCCCTCAAAGTAACGTCCTGTCTCCTGACAACAGCTAAGGAGCGATCATCAGCAGCAGAGGATGAGTCTTCTGACCTCATTGCACAGTTGCCGTTACCTGTCTCCTCATCCCAGCCACACAGTGTAAGAGCAACACACAATTCAGTCCCTTTAAAGGGGTGCAGCATGAATGACAAGAGCTTGGCGGTGCCTCGTATCGAAAGGCGATGTCTGTGCCTCAGTTGGTAGAGTCTGATCTCTCTGGCTAGAATTCGTTCCCACAGCATGCAGTCCGCACCGCTTCCAGAGGAGGTGACCACTAAATGGGAGTGAATCGGGGTGATCTTGTGAACGGCTGGGCAGGCAACAAGTCCCCCGGCACTGGCCCGTGTGTCTGCAGCCGCAATGACACCGCCTTGGAAGATGAAACCCAAGGTTGTTGTTCCATGAGACAGAGGGAAAGGCCTGCGGACCATCACTGAGTTGTTGGCTGGGGAAGCAGCCATTGGAGGTCTGTGGTGGAAAGGGGCAGAGTTCACCAAAGGTGGCGACAAGAACTCCTGTAGGTTTCCCCTGTTTGTTCCAAATGTATTCAGTCTCTGCAATCCAAAATTGCATAAGTCAGTCATGTGGAAGGATGCTGCTGTATCTTCGAAATGATAGGCAGGAAACCACTCACGATGCACAGAAGTGTCTCTGAAGCCAGAAATATTTTCCAACGCCATGATGTGGCAGATACCGATAGATTCTTGTGCCTCTCGAGTGCCTTTTCCAAAGATTGGTGGGCAAAAAGTAATGATTAAACCAAAGTTCTCCTTTTGAAAAACTGGTCTGAAAAACAGTATTTAAATCCAGCGGCAGACAAGTCTTGCTCATCTGACTTCTATTCTGAAGAACCAAAGTTCGCCTTTTATAGCCCTCTCAAATACAAACACACGCACAGGCCTGCATTCAAAACAATTTGAATTGAGATAAGTGCAATTTTATCCAGCCTGCTGTGAAAATGATATCAAGAGAAGCCCTTTTCTGCAAACACTAATGTTTTGCAGAGTGGCAGAGTCATCTTTCTAGTTGTGTGCAAGTTCATACATTTCATCATTTTCACTTTGTTGTTAAGTCACCGTCCACCAACAGCAGATCTTCTGACAGACTTAATTTCTTTCCTCTTGTTCTCTACTATATAACCTCAAGATATAGAATTTAGTTCTGAAGGAATTGAAACAGACTTAGGGCAAACAACATTTAATTTGATTGAATACGGATACATTTTTTCTAATTATTCTGAAAAAACGGTTACTGTTGTTTATTTCTAAAATAACTAAATACAACTGTGGGATGTTTAAAACATGTCCGGTTAAGTTTTGATAGTAAAGATGAAACGTTGTTTTCCGTTTTCAGAAGCTGAAGACCTTGGATGCGAAGTCATCGTGGTATTTTACGATGTATACAACTGCAGCGCTTACAACGCCATTTCGGGTCTACGTCACGTTGCTGCCCAACGGGCGTTATGGTCCCCGCAGATCCAAGATGGCGTCCGTTTCCCCGTTCGCGGTATTTAACAGACGGTCCCAAGTCAACCCATTCAGTCGGCTAAAATCATGGCGTCCGGCAGCACGGGGAGCAGGGTATCCTGCGGGAGAGATTTGAACTGTGTGCCAGAGGTAGCCGACACTTTAGCTGCGGTCGCCAAACTTGGGTGAGGATACTACTGCACCCTACACGTTCAATTTAGGTTGTTTTGGGTAAGACGGAGCCTAAGAGGAACCCACTGGTTAGCTAGCAACATGTCAATGCGTGATGCTAGCTGAGCTAGCCGGTGAATTACCAGCACGTGCCCAATCACAACGAACCATGATACTGGTGCGAAGTGTTTATTTTACTGACATAGGCTGTTTGTATTCGTGTCTTCGGTCTGGGGGGTTGTTAACTAGAGTGATTGTATGTGTTGCACCTCTACCTGGCACTATAAACGATAACAATGCTGAAGTGCGATGCGTTCTTTCCCTGCGTCCAGGTTTGACTTCCTGTGCATGCCGCTGTTCCACTCGAGGTTCAGGAGAGAGTTTGAGTTGGAGCCCGCTAAGTCCCGATCCGGAGCGCACACTCGGTCAGACCTGCTGCTGTGTGGAAGAGGTCTGTTTTCTATTGTCTTAACTGGGTTATTATTAATCACTTTTGAATGGAGTTTTAGAAAGTAGCGCGACAAAGCTGGTATTAGATGAAAAATACATATTTTTAACAAAGCTGACAAGCTATAATCCTTACATTGGCTCCCAGTATGTCAGAGAATTAATTTCAAAATCCTACTGCTCCCATATAAATCACTACATGGTTTAGGGCCAAAGTATATCACTGATATGCTTCCACTACATAAGCCTTCAAGATCACTAAGATCTTCTGACACCAATATGTTAGTGATTCCCAGAGTAAATACAAATCATGGGAAAGCATAATTTAGTTACTACGCAACAAACAGCTGGAATAAACTTCCTGAAGATTTAAGAGTTGCCCCAACTCTGACCACGTTTAAAACAAGACTGAAAACTTTTATGTTCAGCTTCGCCTTCTGCTAAATTTTACCTACATTGCACTTTTAACCTCTGCCTTTAATTAAACAATTTAAATAAGATTTTAATTTATAATTTTATTTGCTGTTTTTAATTCTTTTAATTCCTGCATTTTATTTCACTTTATTGTATGAAATGTTATAATGTGAAGTACTTTGAGTCTGCCTTGTGTATGAAAAGTGCTATACAAATAAAATTGCCTTGCCTTGCCTATATTGTATCATAGACACAGAAACAATACATTACAACAGAATGAATAGTTAGTTGTTGTGCACCGTAAACATGTTTACTTTATCCATTGGTCTGGCTGTCATACCATCACTAACAGAATAAAAGACCGGCATCTCAAAATTGGCTTTTATATATAAGTACAGTATTTTTGATCAACATCAGTGAATGCCCCCTTTCCTTACAACTAACCGTTGTGCTTTGTGTAGATTGGAATACTCTTATTGTTGGGAAACTCTCTCAATGGATCGACGCAGATTCAGAGTTCGAGACAGAGCGCCGAAACTCAGAGGCTGTAAGTTCTTCAACCTGGAAAGTTCTTCATAATTTGAATGTGGACGCTATTAAAAAAAAATAGTTTGATCTCCAGATTTTACTATCTTCTCCAGTCAACCCCCTCTGAATCTCTGTGTATCATCGGCGTCTCATCGTTCCGCCCCTCTTTGTTTCCGTCCAGGCTCTGGTCCAGGAGTTGAACTTCTCAGCATACCTGGGTTTGCCGGTTTTCATGATCCCTCTGAAAGGCCCAAACTGTGCCAATTTAGCCCGTCTGCTGCTTAACCACATCCACACTGGACACCACACCTCAAATGTAAGACCAGGCCCAAACAAGCGCAACATGCACATGTACATTGCTTTCTAACTGGCACCGCTAACTGTTGTTGTCGTCCAATCAGTTCTGGTTACGTGTCCCGCTGATGGCGTCAGAGGACATGCGGGAAGATCTGATTGAGAATGAGCCGACCACTTCGGACGAAGACACAAGTGTTGATGAGAAGACCTGGAGCTGGTTAGTCCGCTTCCTGAGCTGTCTGGTGCCGTCTGCATGCTAATACAGCTGCCATCGATTTCCTTTAAATCCGTGACTCATTTTGTTTACATCCCTCTCTTCCTTTAGGTGGCACTCATTTAGAACCCTCTGTGATTACAACAAGAGGATCTGTCTCGGTGAGTGAGAGAGGGAGCACACTGAAGCACCAGCCTGGGGCAAAGTCAGTGCATTACAGAGAAATGGTTATGTGTTGTGTCTGCTACTGAAAATGTTTTTTGTTCTTTTTCTTTTATTCCTGAAGCCATTGAGGTTGGAGCAGACATGCCTTCAGAAGCGGTGATTGATAAGTGGCTCGGGGAGCCTATCAAAGCAGCCATACTTCCCACCAGTATCTTCTTAACTAATAAGAAGGGGTTTCCTGTTCTGTCCAAAGCCCATCAGCAAATAATCTTCAGTCTTTTCAAGGTACAATTCTGCAACTGAATAAAACAAAAAACTTCCCAATGCGGAAGTGTTTTATTGTAAACAATCAATTGTTGTTGTTTTTTTAGTTGGAAGCCCAGTTCGTCTTCACAGGCACCAGTCGCCACACTGAGAAGGACTTCCGGTCCTACCTGCAGTACCTGGAATACCTCAACCAGAACCGGCCCGCACCCAATTCCTACGAGCTTTTTGCCAAGGGCTACGAGGACTACTTGCAGTCCCCCCTGCAGGTAAGGAAGTGCTCAGCACCTTTCACGTGTTTACAATATAAATGTTATCCTTTTTAAAAAAAAAAAAATTATATGAAGACTGAAATACTGTTCTCCCTTCAGCCACTCATGGACAACCTGGAGTCTCAGACATACGAAGTGTTTGAGAAGGATCCTATTAAATATTCCCAGTACCAACAGGTAAGCCTATTGAACCAAATCCCTCCTCTTCTAGGTCGATACAAATGGTGGCGTGTTCATAGTAGCTAATTGACGCTGATCATCCATTCCATTAGCCAATATCTAATTTGCTCTCCCGTCAACGTGTGCGTCTGTAACTGGAGGGAGAGCTTGTACTGTCAGGACGGATTGTCATTTGTGTTGCACGGTTACACCATCAACGTATTGATCTCCCTGCGTTGTGCTTGTGTCTACAGGCTATATATAAATGTCTACTAGACAGAGTTCCGGAGGAGCAGAAAGACACAAACGTCCAGTGAGTATTTGCACCCAAGATTACATTTTGCCAGCAAAAACTCCTTTCATTGTAGAGCTCTATTTCAAGCCTTTAGTGGCTGAACAGGGTAACATGCTAACATAGATATCATTATTCATCTGTAAGGGACATTTCACAGCTTCCTGGCTATACTGTTTTTGCCATAAACTAATTTACACCTGTAGTTCCTGGGCCGTAAACCTTTACATTACATGTCATCCAAAGCTACTTACAATAAGTGCATTCAACCATAGGGATACAATCAGTAAACAGAATAATATTGCTGTTTTGTCTGCATTAAATCTGCAGCAGCTGTCTGAAGTAACTTGGTGCTGAGCTCCAACGCTGATGTGTCAATGTCGCAGGGTGTTGATGGTGCTGGGGGCCGGTAGGGGTCCTCTGGTCAACGCCTCCCTGCGTGCTGCCAGACAGGCCGACAGGAAGTTGAAGGTGTACGCCGTGGAGAAAAATCCCAACGCTGTGATCACGTGAGTGGAATATGTGTCAAAGCTCATGCTGTCTCAGCTCCGTCCTTGTGTGTGTGTGTCCTTTATACACTTTTATTAGGTGGAAACTATATCTGTTAGGTGTATTTCCATGACTTGGTTTAGCACTTTTGGGAAACGCTGTCTTTCTTTTCGATCTCTTTTTAGCTTGGAATGCTGCCATTTGCCGTAGAAGTTCTGAAAATACAAACTAAAACTATTAATAACGCACAGTGAGGCCTTATCCGCATAACATTCCCATGCCATCTGTTTTTGGTTAACAAAAAAAAACAACTTAACAGAACTTTCTGAAAGCGTTTTCCACGTTCAGTGCAAAGATGAAAGCGGCAACACCACGGATCAGCTGAGCATTCGGCCTGCTCTGAAGTGTTGAGCTGGCACTGCACTAGCGCCAAGCCAACCTCCAAAGCGTGAGGATGCCTCCGACAAACGGTCCAACAACTTCCTGTACTTGTTCAGGCTGGAGAACTGGCGCTTTGAGGAGTGGGGGGATCAGGTGACTGTGGTGTCGTGTGACATGCGGGACTGGGCGGCGCCCGAGAAGGCCGACATAATCGTCAGCGAACTGCTGGGATCTTTCGGGGACAACGAACTTTCCCCCGAGTGCTTGGATGGAGCGCAGCACTTCCTCAAAGGTACTTGAGTTTTTGCTATTAGTGTGAAATTTATTATAGGATCCACACATGCAGATGCTGCTGAGGCAAAGTCGTTGTGTGCCGCATCAACCCAGAGGAAAGCATTTGTCCTTCTCCATTACCTTTTTGTTTCATGCGTCTCAAACCCGTCGTTCTCAGATGACGGCGTGAGCATCCCCTGTTCCTACACGTCCTTCCTTGCTCCCCTGTCCTCCTCCAAGCTCTACAACGAAGTGCGGGGGTGCCGGGAACGTGACAAGGACCCGGAGTGCCACTTCGAGACGCCCTACGTGGTGCGCCTCCATAACTTCCACCAGTTGGCCGATCCCAAAGCGTGCTTCACCTTCAAACACCCCACAACAGGTATACGCAAACGCATTGGCACGTATAGAATGCCCAGGGACAAATGGATCTTTTTGAAGTTATGTGTGGTGAATGTGTTGACCACTCTTTGTTCTTGTCTTTTCTTCCTTCAGATATGAACAATAACCGGTATCAGTGCCTCACCTTCTCAGTGGGATGTAACTGCGTGCTGCACGGCTTCGCTGGCTACTTTGAGACCACGTTGTACAAAGACGTCACACTCAGTATGTCATTCTTATGAAGAGGCGAGTCATGTCTTGCAACGTTTACATCAAAATGTTAAATGTTTGTTTTTTGTGTTAAAGGTATAAAACCAGAAACTCATTCACCTGGAATGTTCTCTTGGTTTCCCATCCTCTTCCCCCTCAAAGTAAGTCACAAAGACAAAAAAAGGTTTTGCAAATTTGAAGAGCATATACCCGTTTGCATTCGTTCATCAACCCAAATTCTCCCCCCTGATAGCAACCCATCTCCATATCCCACGATGAGGATGTCACAGTGCGCTTCTGGCGCTGCAACAACGGGAAGAAGGTGTGGTATGAATGGGCCGTGACCGAGCCCTCCTGCTCCGCCATCCACAATCCTGCTGGACGGTCCTACACCATTGGCTTGTAATCACGACACACACGTTCCTGTAAAAATTGATGGCCGTGTAAGTTGAGGTTCCCACCTCTTTTCTTTGTTTTGTTTTTTTAAGTTGAATATCTGGTGTTGTGTAACAAAAGTGCAGTGCTGCGTTTTAAAGTTACCATTGTTGGGCACTTTTGAGTCGGCAAATAAAAACAGTTGTTGGATAAACCAGATTTTTTCCGTGTGTTTTTGAGAAATGTGTTCATCAGGCACAGACATCACCTGTACACAAAGTGTATTAACTGCTGTGAGATCTGGTCAAACACCAACTCACCTGTTTGTTAGTCTTTCTTTGTCCCCTGGCCTATTCTGACCTTAGCCGACATGCACACCTAATCCAACAGAACCTTTTGCCTTATCAAACACGCATTCCATATCGATACTTGGACTGTACTAATGAAATGCCAATCGCCATGACACAGGGTCCGAGGAAAGTCCTGCCATTCAGGTCACAGGGCGTTCTGTTTGGGGCCGTCTCTTAGTACCGTTTTGTTTGTCTTTGAACCATGTCAATAAAAAGTCCGTAACGTTCTCCCTGGGCTCTGAATTTTGTTTGGTGTAACCACGTTCCACAAAGTATTGGGTTTCTCATCATGTAGCTCAGTGGTTCCCAAACTCAAGAATGCCCAATTTGAAATCTGAAAATCTTTTGCGGCCCACCCAAATCGTTAATCACAACTCTGATCAAAACAATGATTAAATGACCTTAAGAATTTAACCTATTAAAAACGTATTAACCGACAATGTATGTTTTGTATACCACAATACGGCGGATACTGCAGTCTATGGCAGCAAATCACTTAAAATTCGAGAGCGCAAATCCGGTTGATGCGCGCGCGTAAATCAAACATCCGCGAGCAAAAGTCCGTCTCGAGCGAGATATTTGCTCGCTTGCGAAACGTGAACTTCGTCGCTCGCGAGGAGAATCTCTGCTCGCGCTCGAAGGAGTTTTCTACGCGCTCGCTGTTCTTTTTGACAGTAAGGGGGCGGAGCCAGTCACCATGGTCTCTACACCTGACTGGTTACATGACATGACTGTTGAATAACGACAGGCGGACAAGAGCAGCCGTTTCGAGCGAGAACCTTATTGTTTTAATAATCTGTTCGTTTAGTTTGTGCTTCATCAGTTAACGTTTCACATAACTAATGTGCCGCATCATAAATATTTTGATATTAATTTCCAACTTTTCAAAATTGAGAATTAACTATTTATTGTAAATTACCTCTCTGGGAATCGCTGATGTAGCTTATTAGAAATGTCTGAATCAGTCTAGAATGGTGGCATACGGGCATAGTTTTTAATGTGTATGGTAAGGAGATTTCCCTCTCTGATTAACTTTTCCCCATGAAATCCCCCATGAAAGAGTTATGGCTCACTCTAACAATGTATATAATACATGTACCCGAAAAATCGAGGTACAACTCGCAGGTTCACTGTCTGATACCTTTTATGCTGTTAGTGTAAATGTATTGTCTCAAGGGTCTTGCACCTTTTGCGGCCGTTCAGGCGTTGTAAGAAAGCTTAGTCATTCTGCTCTAAACTGCAGTCGGAGTGTTTTTCTGCTTCAATGCAAATGTCAAATTCCATTTAACCATTGTAGACACTACAAAAGCTGCTAAATATGCTCTTCAATCACAAATGTCTGATCTGGCTCAATATAATGGAACCGTGTGTTACAAGTGTTCAAAAGATTCTCCTCAATACGTGTGAAATTAATAATCAGATGTATTATGGCAGGAAGAAGCATGATCACATGTGTATGTGTGTCACATACCATGAGACTATGGGAGATTTAATCTAAAACATGCTGAGATGTCAAAGGTTACAGCTCTATTGATACATTTTCACATCATGAATTTTAGTTACTAAGACAGAACAGTTGGTTTTAAAGTGATAAAAATAATATATAGAATATGCACAGCATACTTATATAAGTTCATACACAGTATCAAACCATTTTATGCAGGTGAGTATGATCAAGTAGTGTATAAGCTTACACATTTAATCTCCCCATGTGATGATTCCACGTAAGTTTGGTAACTGGTACTTTTCTTTTCAATCTCAATCATATCATCTTTATGTCTCAGCCTGATTTAAAATAAGCAAAAATAAGCGTTGAATTTAAACCAGCTAAGAATAAATGTATAAAGTCAATAGGGAGAGGAGCGCTGGGTATTCAATGCTAGAGAGGGCGGGGTTTGAGACGTCTTGACGGCGCTGATTGGTTGAAAACAACTAACTTTTAAATTTGATCAAGGCTATTAAGTACAGGTGTTCAATCATCTCTGCCGTTCAATCAAGTCCGTTACTTTATCGGCAGCTGTCACGGGGTCTCAAGTCACCGGCATCCCAAAAAGGTGAGTCCGCACGTTACTGTTGCCTCAGCTTTATGCAGCAAAGCGTGAGCTCAGGGCTGGTGGTTAATTGTTAATTACAAACCTGCACAGGAAACAAGCTTTTTGTGACGGATACCGTCGCAAAGCATCTTAATGAATAATGTTAGCAGTGCGTTCTCATTTTTAGCTCGAGCTAAAATGGACACCATCACCATCAAATGTTTCTGTCCGAAAGTTGTACTCTAAATAAATAAATTAATAATAATTCCGCAAAAACAGCGAGCGCCCCAATACAACTTCGGCTTGTCGACAATGATGACCGGATTTCAGCCATGTCCATTAATAATGGGGCTTCGTTGAGTGTTTTAACTTTAACTTTATGCCATCAGTGTGAAATAACAACGGTCTTATTTTGAATGTAATTCAGCGTAAAATTCACGTTTAGATATCACCCCGGTCTACAGTTACTTTAGTAGAATTCACGTAGGTGAATAACGGTCTTATTTGACCTGCTTCAGTGTAAAACTCACGTGTGTGTTATTTCCACGGTCTTATTCCACAGGTGGAATTCACGTTTGGTCAATAACAACGGTCTTATTTTAACTGGGTAGTCAAGCGATCTGCGTTACGATCTCGGATAATTTGTTCCGAGTGAAATCTTTACCGTAAGCAATCCTGTCTTCTTGTAGTCCAGCGATCTGTGTTACGATCTCGGAGAATTTGTTCCGAGTGAAAACCTAATCGTACACAATCCTGTCTACAACCGCATGAAGTGATGCTTTGGAAATATCCCAGAATCATGTACAATACTTTAAAATAAAAAAATAATTCCCCGAACTATCACAACCACTTGATCAGTCATCTGTGTCCGTTATGTTCAACCTTAAACGTACGTATAATTGGAATTTCAACTTCTTACCCGAGTTTGTAGAAATTAATTCTTTTTCGCTGTATACACGTGACGTCAATCAGGACTCTTTGGTTTCCGCCGGTCCTTTCTCTCTTGTCTAAGGAGGTATGAGGCAGGATCATCAGTTGGTGATCCTGGAAAAGGCCTTTTCCCCGGACGGTCCCCTGGAGCCTTGACGGACGGTCAGCGTATCCTGTTCGTGACGCCAAATTGTTGTGGAATATTTCAATAAAACTTGTTCTGGAGAAGAGAATGAATTCTTTCAATGTTTATCTAATAAAAAACAGTCTTGGTGAATGATCAAAGTTTCAAAAAGTCCATTTATTGCTTGCAAGCAGGAGGCCAAATACACCAGCACGTATCACAGCGCTCTGTGGAGATGCCGTCTCCGAGCAGTAAAAACGCTGAGTTTTTATACACATAGGAAGGCCATTCTCAGTGGCAGGTAGGAGAAGTTGCAAACCAAGTCGAGATAAGAACCAAGGTTAAGATGAGGGTAACACACACTGCTCCTTTGTACGAGCGCCCGTGAGAGCAAGTTAATTCCCTTTTTCAGACACAGCTGCATATGGAAACCTTAAATCTTTTCTGCTTTTGCACATCAGGGTCAAACAGACACTTGAGACACAGGTTTAGCACAAGCCAATGTTATAACATTTTTACCATTACAGAACGCGCTTGTAGAGCGCATATGAGCCGCTGCAGCGTAGTGGGGGGGCAGTGGCTTTATGGCATGATAGGCAGGCCGTAACAATCAGTCAGGGCAACCCTGATCTCACCCTGGACTGCCCTAGGTCACAGGCCCACCTAAAAGGTCACATTCTTGAGAGACTCTCACTATGCACAAATGCCCCCGACAATCATGTGAATGGAAATTGTATTTTTCCCTTTTTTAAAGCTTAAGCTGAGCATAATGTCTGCAACATCATGCTTTTCAGCCCGAAAATTTGACTTATTTCAGTCATCCAGTCCATTCCTATTGTGACTATACTATTCACAATACATTTATATGGTGGAGCGTTGAGCAAAAACTGTCTCATTGTGTGGGTTTCCACCGGCATTATCGCAGCCATTGGTGTTCGCTGCTATGCAGACTTTGATTCGACCATCCCCAGGTCCGGGGGAGACTACTCCTACACCAAAGACATCTTTGGAGGACTAGCTGGGTAAGAACCAATGCTGTTTGTCTGAAGCTGCTGAGTCTGGGATTTTAAAGGTGCATCGTCTAGTACTTCTGGAGCTCTTTGGGCAGAAAATCACAAACCGGCTTTGATAAATGTTTGCTGTACCTTTTCTTTTTTTTCTTACAGGTTTTTGCTCAAATGATTTGTAAACGCTGTGCAAGGTTTGTTGTAGCCGGCCTCTTTGTAGTTGATGAGAACTTGCAGGAAGTCTGTTGCTCCATCACATCAACAACCTGCTGCTGGTGCTGTCATTCAGGTTTCTGCGTCTGTGGGTCGTGGTGTTGGTTATCTCCCCCACTAACTAGGCGGTGACTGCGCTCACCTTCTCAAGCTACATCCTGCAGCCGCTCTTCCACCCTTTGCCTTCCCCCGGAAAGTGCCCTGCGCCTGCTGGCTGCTGCCTGCCTGTGTGAGTCTGTTGTTAAATTCAAACCAGGATTAGGTGGCTGTTTTTTTTAGGCTAGGGCATTAAGATAGAGCATGACGCGGCATTCAAACCTCACTTTGGGCATTTCATGAATTTATATAATTTTATTAAATTAAATGCGGAGGTGTTCCGTGCCCCCTAGACACCGCCGCCGACTGCGGAGGTGTTCCGTGTCCCCGGGCCGCCCACTACTGCGGAGGTGTTCCGTGTCCCCGAGCCGGGCCGACCCCCGGTCCGGGCCAGTACCGGTCCGGGCGACTGCGGAGGGGTTCCTTCCCCCCGAGCCGCCGCCGACTGCGGAGGGGTTCCGTGCCCCCGAGCCCCCGCAGCCGACTGCGGAGGTGTTCCGTGTCCCCGAGCTGCCGCCGCCGACTGCGGAGGTGTTCAGTGTCCCCGGGCCGCCGACTACTGCGCAGTCTTTTAGTGAGTCTTCGCCATGTGCAGGAATGCTAACTCCCACTCCCCTCTAACCACGTTCAGTTGATCTCCACCCTGCTGATGTTGTGCACCAGTGACGTTTACACCCTCAAACTTTGTGGGTTTCATCAACTTCCTCTTCTATGGCATCACTATCGCCAGGCAGATTCTGCTGTGCATCAGAGAGCCTGACATGCATCGACCATCAAGGTAAAGATCACTAGCGAGACCACTTCTGCTTGGTTCATGAACGATGAGCCAATTTCCTGAACCCTTTTGAAATACTTGTCAAAGGTATGGATGTGGATTGGTGACGGCATAAGTGATATTTATCTTGCGTGCTCCTCTATACCAGCATCTGCGTGTCGTCCACCAGGTGAACCTGATTTGGCCGACGATCTACATGCTGTTCTGGACCTTCCTCTTGGTCTTCTCCGCGTACTCCGAGCCTGTCGTCTCCTGTACTGGTGTGGCTGTCATGTTGACTGGTGTCCCTGTATATTTCCTGGGAGTACTCGGAAAACAAGCCCAAGTGTTGTGATATTACCATTGGTAAGGGGATGTTCTGGTGTCTCCCATTAAAGAAAGTGTTAATGGAACTCTGAGATGGATACCAATGTGGCCTGCCCCTTCAAAGTAAATGCAGAGGTTGACTGGATACACAGATGTTCGTGTATTTGGTCAACTGGCTTTACTTGTAATTAGGTAGTTTTAAAATACAATGAAAAGATATCTTTGACAAAGGTGTAATAAAGCGGCAAGATTTGTTAAAAAGTCAAAATAATGTTTCTGGTTTCTGTCATCCTCAACTGCATCCAGGTAAAATTACTCATTTGTCCCAAAAGCTGTGTTCGGTGGTCCAGCCGGAGGAGAGATGGGAGCCCTGCGAGCCACAAAACAAAGACTGAGACCACAACAATGATAATGAAGAAGACCGATTGAAACATGCATAATCAAACACTCACTATGATGCTCACTTTGGGCTTAAAGAAAAAAAAGTGGTACCTGGGGAAGTGAGAGAAATGAATATACATCTTCGTGTTAGTGTCAAAATATTTTAACATGTAAGTTGTATGTATTGTTAAAGCTTGTTTATACGCTTAAAAAAATTAAAATGAAAATTACCTGATTTTTTTTTTCTTTGGATTTGAACCACGTTATATAATTAATCATGAACAATCGAAGGGTTGCCTTCAAAGAACAAAAATGGTTTTCCCTTAATTCTAGTTGTGATCATCGCTATGGGAGGTTGAGAACTGGCTGGTAGGTTTGCAGTGCTGCAGCTTTAGGGAGGCCTTGTGCGTCTCGTTGTAGTGGTGCTGGTGGAGGCTGTCTGCTGCCTCATTAATGTTTTAGCCACCTGTTGGAACGCCCGGCGTAGAAGGGGCGGAGTCCATACACGATGAGCGATCAAATTGCGGAAGTGTGCAGCTGTGCGAGGCAGGCTGGGTCGGGATTCCACACGGCGCTCCATACGGACGGAAAGTAGATTATTTGCTTTCAAAGTAAAAGCCTGAAACTCCTGACTGCCCAATAATGCCGTATTGATTGGACATTTTGGCTTGTTCAAGCCAACGCTTCTAATTCATGCAGTCTAGCTCAATTTGAACTGCTTATCTTTGATATATGTAAACATTTCAACAGTTCACATGGATGAGTAGTTGGGCAACAGTTTTGTCCAGAACCACCACAGACTTAATGGCCGGTTTCAGGAGGAAATGAGACGTAGCTTTAGGGGCATTCGCTCTGCTAGCTGGGTAATCCAGCGTTTGCACTTCAGAAACGCTATTACATGTCATTTAGTAATGCCGTTAAGTAATTCACTACTATTGACCACTTACTCTGTTAAAGTTTGTTAGGAATCTCTTTCAACTCCTTTAAAGAATGTTATGGAATCTTTTCAAGGAAAGGCTACTTGCCCTTTAAAAGGGAACAATTTAGATATCTTTAAATTATATATACTGTGTAACGTTTACAGGAGGACCAGGTATATTTATACAGGAGGACAATGGTTATATTTATACAAGAATAGGTGTGTACACTCGTAGGCCTAATCATGTTGTAGACTAAGGCCATATGATGTGGCTATAAGACAGTTGGCCAGATCTCTAGTTAAGCTTTATTTATTACTGTAGAAGTAAACCATGTTCCCTGTAGACCTGATATGCAAGCAAAATTCATCTTATTAGTCAAAACCGTGCTGTTCATTATAACACATTACACATTATGTAGGTAGACAAGCATGATGAAAGATATCTATATAACTTTTTTTTCTCAGTTTAGTTGGTGGGATTTACATTGAACTGACCCTGGCGGCTCTCTTCCACGGCGTTTTTTTTAATGATTTCATGCCACTGAGACAGCTACATAAATACACTACGATGTCCTAGTAATTCTACTACTTAGTACTTGCGTTCCAACATTCACCATGAATTGAGTACGCGTGCTGCTATAATATTTCAAAAATGTCCCCCATCCTGAGAATGACGCATAAGATGATGTATAATGATTACTCTGGCCGAATGCTTTACTTTTTAATTAAACCCCCCAAAATACAGCGGGTCCGACAGACCCACAACACCTGCTGAGTAACAAAAAAAACGTTTAACATTTCAGTACATTCATATTTTTCTAGCGTTCCGAATGTGATATTTACGCACCGTGTTTTATATTGGAAGGTGCGACCGGAAGTGGTGTGATTATGTTTCGGATGCTCTGACACTGTACTGACACTGTATGGACACACAGCATCTGGGTCCCCAACCGAACTGACCGCCGCCGCGTATTGGAGGGGGGTTCGGTTGAACCGGTTTACCCTTTTAATTACCGGCGACTCTCCGTACAGTGCAGAGGTACGTTGTTGCTATGGAGCTGCCGCCATTCCTCGGCTAGCTCTGCTAGCCCGTCACCAGAGCCTCTGCGAGTTTAGCTACATCCGGTTCCTCGGCTAGCCTCTGGCTCGCCTCACTGACCGGTTCACCGAGCGTCATACTAACTTCAATATATGCGTGAATGGATTTTCACAACGTCATCAAGTTGCTTACGTTAAAGGCATGCGCTTAATTGTGTGGAGTTGAATGACTCTCGGTACAACACGTCCCCGATAGTCGAGTTTACCAGACTGTAAACGATAGTAGTTTGTACCGTAAAGTTGTGTGTGTGTCAGGACGGCGAATAACAGTTAGTGTTGTGTAGTAACAACGTTGTCATTACCGTAACGTCCCACAACTGGGCATTTTGATTCAACATCAGGAAGCACGGTGAGACTCTGCATAGCAAAGTGGTTTGTTGTATGCGAGTTATTTTGCTAACATTTGTGTAATTTAATATCCACACCCCCATCTACTCACACACACACGCACACACACATGCACACACACACAGCCATGTCTCCATCAGTGCCCCTGCAGGAGATGATCCGGGCTATCAGGTCAGCGAGGACGCAGTGTGAGGAGCGAGGAGTCATCCAGAGGGAGTGTGCAGCCATCCGGGCTCAGTTCAGACAAGCCGACAATGGGGGGCGATCTCACAACCTGGCCAAGCTGCTCTACGTGCACATGTTGGGCTACCCCGCTCACTTCGGTCAGGTGAGGGGCTTTTGCTAATGCCCGTCATGGGTTTGCTGTTGTGTTAAAGGGGCCAGCTGCGGGGGGGGGGGGGTCCATGAAGCTTTGATGATATTAGGGATGTGAACTGCTCCGTTAAGTTCTCGTTGCATTTTTTTCAGACTTTCCGTTACATTAGAATACTTTAAATTGAGGTTAATTTCCCAGAGCAAAGTCTGCAGCATCGCAAACCCATGTCAAAGAAAGAAAGAAATAATAAATCCTTCTCGGCTCCGAGGGCTGCTCCTCTGAAGCTGACTTCCCCGTGGAGTGAGCAAAGGGCAGAACATTTCCCCGGTGCCGGTGTTATCGCCTGTGTCGGCCTTTCACGTTACTTGACATTTAAAGTGGATGTCGCTCCCCGTACTAGATGGAGTGTGTTCGGATGATAGCCAGCCCTCGCTACAGCGAGAAGCGCGTGGGATACCTCGGAGCCATGATGCTGCTGGATGAGAAGCAGGATGCGAGCCTGCTCATAACCAACTCCATTAAAAAGTAAGATAAACCCATTTAAAGGAATTCATATTTACATTTTCACTAATCCTTTATATTAAAGCCCTTAGCATTTATATACAGCTGAAGGGGAGCCCCAGCAATTTCACACATCATCTTCACCGCACAGAGAGTCTCGTAAACACACTGTCTCCAACCAAGCTGGTGGATAATTTGCATTGTGGGTAATGTAGGTATCTGGTTTGGACAAGGGAGAATAGTGTGTGAAATCTAAAAATAATCTCTGATTCTGATGCAGCGATTTGAATCCTTTAAAATAAGGAACTGTCCATCTGACAGTGCTGGAATGCAAAACTACTGTTAGTTTAACTGTATTCACTGTTCAGTATTCATTACATGTCAAGAAGTTTATTTCCTCACATAAAGCTTTTGCCGCAGGTGTATTTCCAATAATAAAGGTCTAATAACACAGTACAACAAACATATAAATGATCGTAATTGATCATTCCCTATTTTTGTATGCACAAGTTATGGCTCCTTCAGGTGAGGAGTTACAGTAGCCTTATATGGTCATACTTTACTATACTGTGTAATATTTAGTAAACATTAAGTGACATTTAGAAACATTTTACAAGCTATTTATTTACGTGTTGTAAATGCTAAATGAGTGGGCGGGGTCACATGTCACCAAGTGTTCTGTAATATGTGTGTCATGCTGTAAGACTACTACTGGTATTCCACTTAAGTCAGACAAAGTACAAAGAGAGGGACATTCGTTTCAGTGCCACATCCTTGTGCTCACCGTCGTCATGTCTGTGTGTGTTTTCCAGTGACCTATCTCACAGTAACCAGTATGTGCAGTCTCTGGCTCTGTGCACGCTGGCCTGTATGGGCTCAGCTGAGATGTGCAGAGATCTGGCACCAGAGATCGACAGGCTGCTGCGAGCCTCTAACTCCTACATAAAGAAGAAGGTGTTTGTATTTTTCCAGGAGCACGTAACCATATTCACATCACTTCCGCTGAGATTGTCCCTAGACACGTAGAAGAGAGGGGTGTTTACTGATGTAATTTATATGGTGCAACAACAAGTTAAAATCTATTAAGCCTGTGCTTACCGCAGGCCTTATTTCAGGTATCGAACTGAAAAAACATTCTGAAAGACTTTGAGACAGGGGATTCTGTTAGAGCTATTGAGGGAGCTGCATCCAGCAGATGCTGGACGGGCTGTAATAAAGTGCCTCCAACTTGTCCACGTCGCATACGATCATGAGAAACACTTGTTATTGCCACAGGATTGTTATTGTAAGTGTGTGGCAACTTTAAGCAAAGGCTCTTACAGATAAATATAACGTGTTTCTTACCTTTCTCGATGTACCAGTGACTGTTCTGATGAAGTGTTCCACTGCTCCGCCAGGCTGCGCTTTGTGCTGTTCACATCGTGAGAAAAGTCCATGAGCTGGGGGAGCTTTTTGTGCCCGCCGCTCGCTCCCTCCTCTCGGAGAAGAACCACGGTAAGTGGACATACATGACCCCCACCTGTGAGCCCACCTTTCTCACACACACACACACACACACACACACACACACACACACACACACACACACCGATTACCACCACTCTTCTCATTTGGCCCCAAGGTGTGTTGCACGGCGCCGTGGTGCTCATCATTGAGCTGTGTGAGCAGAATCCGGAGACCCTGGAGCGGTTCAGAAAGGTACGGCTAAACACACACACACACACACACACGGGCGTGTGCATCTGATGAGTGAGGTGTCTCTGCGTGTATGATGTTGTGTGCTTTCAGACAGTGCCAGATCTGGTGCAGATCATGAAAGGTCTGGTCCTTTCAGGTTATTCCCCAGAGCACGACGTGGCGGGAATCAGCGACCCCTTCCTGCAGGTCAGTCTGGACCCGTGGGATCAAATCGCTGCATCGTATCGCCCCATAATTTTGTTAAACAAAGCTGAATGCAATAAAACTTCAATAATATCAGACATCTTGTCTGCTGTAATGCATCATCTTTCTGAATCTGCTGCAACAATCAACCAATTTGATTTAATCTTCATGCAAACCACTTTCAAACACTCAAGATATGTTGACCTTTCTTGTTTTAAATGGGTATGTATTGCTTATGAATTGTTTATATTGTACTTGCGTTCAGTTCACACAAACTTTTACGTTAATAAACCTGTGAGCCTTCCAACTCTGCGCCCACAGGTGCGCATCTTGAGGCTGCTGAGAATCCTCGGCCGCAACAACGAGGGAGCCAGTGACTCTATGAACGACTTGCTAGCTCAGGTATAATGTTTCCTTTTCACAACAACTGAATATGTTCTTTATTTTGATGTTCTTTTTAGTTATTTTAGGTCAAAATCAAGTTTTTCATCGCTGAAACAGAGTAATAGAATTTCCAATTTCTATTGATGTAACCTTTCTGTATATGTTTGTTTCATTATTTAGCTATCATGGGTATCCTTGCTCATGCTGATTTCTCCCACATTCTGCACAAACAAACATGTGTAACAAATCACTTGCCAGAATTTCTCCTTTGGAAAGATTTACCTGGAACTCAGAGTGAAAATCAGCAAATCTTAAAGCTTCAATCACTTCTGCAGCAGCCCCAAAAATTCTTTAGTCCCCGTTACAAATGAAGGCGTGCGTGTGCGATGCCGTACAGGTGGCGACCAACACCGACAGCACAAAGACGGTGGGCAACGCCGTGCTGTATGAGACGGTTCTCACGGTGCTGGACATCAAGTCGGAGAGCGGCCTCAGGGTGAGAGACCAGCAGCACTTCTCTCTGTGGTTAACAAGGTTACCTGGCTGCTGCCTCAATGCACACCTGTCTTCACTTGTGCTGCAGGTTCTGGCCGTGAACATCCTGGGAAGATTCCTCCTGAACAATGACAGGAACATTCGGTTGGTGCTGCTTTTTTTTCCTCCTGCGTCTCTTTCCCTTGACACCTCATCCCTCAATCCTCTCCTCCTCCCCGCCGGGCTCCTTTGACCTCTTTTCATTCCACGAGGCTGAGAGAGAGTGAGAGACCTCCCCAGCAGGCTGTTATCAGTCTGAGCCCACTAATCACTTTTCCTGGAGCCGTTCCTCTAAACTGTCGCTCTGTAAATGCGGATCTCGCAATTTTGGGGGGAGGGTGTATGTCATTATTCATCGGGCAGTGTGTAGATTGCAGGTTCCTCCGGGTTTTGACTTGCTGTTGTTTCTTGGAATCGGTGTTGTGGGGCTGGATGAGCTGGTGTGTTTTTTCTTTTTACCTGCAGGGCCCCGAGTGTGTCTGTGGCTGTTTGACAGTAACCTGACTGGTTTTAATCCTGCGAGAGCTGCCTGATAGATAACATCTCCCCTGTGCATACATGAATATTTGAACAGTCCGCGAGACATTTCAAGTGGAAAGATGAATTATTTATCTCTGAAAGTAGAAAACGTTTACACAGTTCCGACAGTTGCTCGTCATTTTGTTGTTACTGTTTATATTCTGCCATGCTTAACACTCTGAATCAAACTAACCGCAGTGATTTCAGCTCCTCACTGCCCTTCACAACATGACACCTTCCACATCCGCCTCCTATGTGCGTGTGCAGGTACATCGCCATGACGTCTCTTCAAAAGATTGTTGGCACGGACCACAATGCAGTGCAGCGCCACCGGGGAACCATAGTGGACTGCCTGAAGGACCAGGACGCGTCCGTCAAGCGGTAACTTCTTCCTTTTAACTCATCATACTTCTAAATAAAGCGTGAGCTTGTTACGATGAAGCAGCATTAGGACAAAACTAATGCAGCAGCCTTTGTTGTTTCTTTTGTAAAAGATCTCTTGTCTCCTGTCATAATCGATACACTTTGATGTCAACTGCATGTCAAATTCAAAGCCCTGCATGATGCCGTGAAAACATAAAGCACAAGTTTGATTTCATGCTTGCAAATGCTTAGCTGCACACTTTCACATAATCACCTGCCTGGCGATAATGTCGCTATTAAGGACAAAATCTGAAGATAGCTTCACACTGAGACCTCCACGGTTATTTCCAGCTCCACTAATCAGGAGGACAATAGAGCAATACTTAATTGATCGCTATGGGTAGGTTCTCCTCACATGGTTCTCAGAAAGTCTACACATCCAACGGCAACCTGCGGCCACTAACAGGTCAGTGGGTTGCTCAAGAGCTCGACCGCAGACGGGCTTCTATAACATGGGAGCGTTCAGCGGACGTGGATAGATGCAGAGAGATTTAACGTTTTGTGAACCCACGGAACTGCACCGTCCCGTCTGTTGAGCCCACACCGACCCTGGCTGCGTCTGTACAGGCAGAGCAGCAGTCTAAATTTAGATCTTGAAGTGAAAGGCAAATAGCAACAGGCTCACAGCTGTAGCGGCCTCGTCTTAAAGGGCCGGGACGTAGCCTACACTCAGACCAGAACCTCCAACATTAACCCTCCTTTGCCATCTCTCCAGCCGCGCGTTGGAGCTGTCCCTGGCGCTGGTGTCTGCCTCCAACATCCGCTCCATGATGAAGGAGCTGCTCCTCTTCCTCTCCTCCTGCCCCCCTGAGCTCAGGGCGCACGCCGCCAGCGGCATCTTCAACGCCGCCGAGAGGTGAGCGACGCTGACGCCACAGCGTGCACGCACAGCCATGCATGCATGGGAGGGCACATGGGCTCACATGCACGCAAATACATTCGATGTGACGCAACTGTTTGAAGTGTTCTAAGAGGATAAGAAAAAGGTCTCTGTGCTTGTGTGTGTGTGTGGCTCCATGTCCCTCTCTCTGTCTTCGCTCTGTCTCTTTAAGTGGCCCTGAGACAATGATTAGTCCTGTGTTTCTGCTCTACACACTTTACTTCATTGCACTTTGTTTCTGTGGATGGATTTGCAGATGTATTTGTGCGCGTGTGTGTGTGTTTGTCAGTCTGACTCAACGTTAAGCACCACTGAGAGTGTGTGTGTGTGTGTGTCTCTGTCTCTGTCAGGTATGCTCCCTCCCAGCGCTGGCACATTGACACCATGCTGCATGTCCTCATCACGGTAAATACCGCTTCCCCCCTCCCCCCCCCCACGACTCACTGTAGGTTGTATCCTGCCGTCATGAACGTGGGTTAGCGTAGCTATGCTGTGAGACACCTTACTGCATTCATATGGACAACGTATTTAGGGGTGAAATGCCCCTGCTCCTGAAGGCCTTTTAGCCTGTGCTAATGCCTCCATTTGTTTACCCCCCCCCCCTTTTCATTTTGTGCTCCACTAGATTAAGGGAAAAACTGATATTGGTGTAAGAGCTAATGCTATGGGTAATCCTTTTAACTGACGGACTGAGTGTATCGAGAGGGCAACGGAGGAGATGTGGCCAAAAGCTTAAACCATGTCAATGAATGTTCTTTATAATGTAAACAAACTGTGAAGGAAGCCTCCGAGTGAGGTCATTGTGTCGGGAAGAAAATGTAGGGCGACCCTAATACTTGGGCCAGCTGTCTAGCTAATGGAGTATTGTGTGTGTGTGTGTGTGTGTGTGTGTGTGCACGTGTTTTATTCACTGTGATTTCCACTCTGCCAGGCAGGGGGCGACGTGAGGGACGAGACTGTGCCCAACTTGATCCAGCTCATCACCAACGCCTCCGAGCTGCACTGTTACACCGTCCACAAGCTGTACCGCGCTCTGCTCTTGGACATCTCTCAGGTGTGTGTGTGTGTGTGTGTGTGTGTGTGTGTGTGTGTGTGTGTGTGTGTGTGTGTGTGTGTGTGTGTGTGTGTGTGTGTGTGTGTGTGTGTGTGTGTGTGGGGGGTCGTCGTGGCGCAGGGGGTAGAGCGGGTGCGCCGGGAGCCGCAAGGTTGGTGGTTCGAGTCCTGGCTGCCCCATGTCTCAAGTCGAAGTGTCCCTGAGCAAGACACCTAACCCCTAATTGCTTCTCAGGCAAAATGTGAAAAAGCCATGGGTTTAAAAGTGTAATGTAAGTCGCTTTGGATAAAAGCGTGAGCTAAATGACCTGTAATGTAATGTAATGTAATGTGTGTGTGTGTGTGTGTCTCAGCACATAGAAGTTTAAGGAAGATCAGTTTGTTGGTCAAAAAATAAAAACTTCTGGTCATTCACTGATCACTCCCTGATCATTAAAGGCTATCTTTAAATGTACCCTAACTTTGTTTTTCCCTGAGAGGCAGCTTGTGTCCTGATGCGACCAGGTTTATTTTTGGAACACAGTCGAGCGAGCAGCCCATGTGCTCATCTGCAGTGTCGTGCAGTTTCTGTCGTCCCGCTGACCACCCGGCCAATCCCTTTTTTTCCTAGTTGTGTGAGTCTAACATTTTTGTCTGCAGCAATCGCTGGTGCAGGTGGCGTGCTGGTGCATTGGAGAGTACGGAGACCTGCTGCTAAAAGGAGATTGTCAGGAGACTGAGCCTGTTCAGGTACCAACACAGTTTCATAGAATTATTCAATATCAAACACGTGACGGTCCAAATACCGATGGAACAATTAGATGCTGCGGTCCCTCTAAAATGCAGGGGATGAATCATCGGCTAAATGAACACTTGTGTCCTGAGTTGTGGTTTAATAAAAATAACAGATAAATGAACATGTAGTGACGCCGTCTCTCGTTCAGGTCACCGAGGATGACGCCCTGGACGCCTTGGAAACGGTTCTACAGTCGCACATGTCGTCGCCGGCAACCAGAGGCTTCGCTCTCACCGCCACCATGAAACTGAGCACGCGCATCACTGATAACGTGGAGTAAGAAAACACCAGCGTATAAGGCTGAAAGCTCAGGACCAGGCCGCTGTGGCCGGTTTAAAGCCAGATGTATTCATTTCATTTTAGTGTGGGTCTCTCATACGAGTTTCAGCCGAGATTCGTGTCTCAGAATTTCCCTAACTGCTTGTCTCCCCCCCTCCTGCCAGTCGCATCAGAAGCATCGTCAGCATCTATGGCAGCTGTATAGATGTGGAGCTCCAGCAGAGGGCAGTTGAATACAATGCGCTGTTCAGAAAATATGACCACATGAGGTATGCAATGAAGCGATCAACTGGACTCATATATTGTGTTTCTGTTTTGGTAGAGCTGTTTTTGTGTACGTCGTGATCTGTCTACAAATGATGGTGGTAGCAGGTCCTTTGGTTTGTGGACATAATGGGCTGAGAGGTTCCCTCTCTCTGCAGGGCAGCAGTGCTGGAGAGGATGCCTGTGATCGAGAAGAACTCCCCGGGTCACACCAACGGGGAGTCGACCGGGGAGGCCGTCAAGGACGTCCCGACAGCCAAAATGAAGCAGGGAGAGCCACTGCTGCTCCAGCAGCCCGCTAACCAGGTACGCCATGTTGTGTGACTGCGGCCTAGTGAAGACCGGTCTGACCACCCTGTCTAGGTTTGCCATCTCCATATCTGTGTCCGACCTCTTCTCGCCGGAAGACCAATTGATTTGCAGGATTCCCCCAATAACTTTTCAAGCATCATGAATTCAGGCTCCCAGCTGTGTTATGGGATTAATGATTATGAAGCAGTGCATCAGCACCTCTCCTCTGGCAAAGCTCTAGTTCGCTAAGTGCTGGCTTAAAACTGAAAGCCTCTGGACCTGGTTCAGTGTACCGGCCTCGTGTTTTCTCAGCTACCCGTTTCGCAATAACATGGAACTGTTTCCCTCGCAGCTTACTCCCAGTAGAGAACCAGTGAATGCAGAATACCGAAAAGAAACTACATCCTGTTGCAAGTTGCCATATGCAAGTCAACATGCTTTTCTAGCTATTCTGACCCTCATTTCCTTGCACTGCAGATATATGAGCAAAAAGATCAAAGTTCAAGGCACTGTGTTTTTTCTAGTTTACCGTTCAGAGATGCGTGTATTCAAATACTGTTCCCACAGCCTTAGTGTCCTTTCAGCATTCGGTTTGAATATGCAGAGCAATGTGTTCTCATTTCCTCCCCCTGTGTGTGTGTGTGTGTGTGTGTGTGTGTTTTCCAGGTGTGTGACCTCTTGGACCTCCTGGGAGGTTCTGAGGAGACTCTGCAGCCCGGCCCAGCAGTCGATTGTTTAGTGTCCGGCCTGTCCGTTCACGCAGCCGGCACTGCCGGAGGAGACCTCCTGGATCTGCTGGGAGGGTTTGAGCCTGCAGAGCTCTCACCAGGTGAGCCCCTCAGCGTGACACACACACACACACACACACTAGTTTAGGCCGACAGAGACCACAAAGAGGAAATGATTTTGAAGATGAAACAAAGTTTGTTCACTGCATCAAGTTCACTGCATAGATAATCTCCTGAAATATACCCAGTGATTGATTTTATTGGTTAATTTAAACTAATTCACTACTTTGAAACGCTTGTTTTTCCACAGCTCCCCAAGTGCTGGCGTACGACAAAGGGGGCGTGACTCTCACACTTAGCTGTGAGAAGCAGTCCGACACGGGCCTGACCGTCACACTAACGGCCTCCAACTCCAGCGACTCAGACCTCAGCAGCTTCACCCTGCAGGCGGCGGTGCCCAAGGTCCGCCTCACTTCCTGTGGCAAAACACGCCGACGACTTTCACACGTCAGAAATAGACGCGCGCATGTTTGACAGGAGGCGAGTTGTACAGACGTCAGACAGGACCACAGCCACTTCACAGCAACCGATGTTTCCGTTTAACGAGTGTTAACTGGCGACGCCTAGTCGAACGCGTCAGCGGTGGCTCATTCCGCTTATGTGGGTGTGTATTTAAAACCGATGGAAGGCTTTACTGAAGAACCACAAGTTCTCCAGGCGTTTCCAACACAAACCGAGACACGTCTGTAGCTACAAGCTATTCAACATGTTAACTTGCACTGGACAGGTCAGACAAGGCTTGTGTTCTTAGCGTCCGTTTCGACCTATGTGTATGTATGTGTGTATATATGTGTGTGTATATATATTATATATATATAATATACATATACACACACACACATATACGGCTTAATTCATTTTATCCACTCACTTAAGCACAGATCTGTAAAGTCCATTTGTTTATCCCCTCACACAACTTGACAAGCTCTTTACAGACTAAAAGGGTCTATAGGTTTTCTCACCAGCTCACAAAAGCAAACAAGCATTTACTGAAAGAATCCTGCAGCTCGTGGCAGAATATCATTTATTTTAATTAAACTTTAGTAGCAGAGTGCACATCAGTGCAGCAACAGGCGTGAACAGCATGCATGGACGGGTTGTGGTGCTTCAAACTTCAACGTTCCATTTGATTCCCCTCCCCCCAGAGTGTCCAGTTACACATGAAGGCTCCCAGTGGGGACTCTCTTCCTGCCAGAGGCACAGCTAAGGTGACCCAGATGGTGGTCCTCAACAACCCAAACAAGGTGGGTTACACACACACACACACACATGTTTCTGGAGTAAAGGATGGATACATTTGGGAAATTGGAACACAAGTCTCTTTACACTTCGTAATTGGCAAAAACTCATTAACTAGAGTGTGCGTGGCGCCCCGTCCTCGTTGAAGCAGAGTCAGTTCTAGCCGCATCGCATCACTAAATCCTCGTCCCTCCTCCAGGTGAACCTGAAGATGAGGGTCCGTGTGTCTTACACGCGCCAAGGATCGCCCTTCCAGGACACAGTCCAGATCGACTCCTTTCCGGGACTCGATGCTGCCGGCCAATGACGGCAGACATTCACTCCGACGGGACTATGGCGACAGTCTGTGGATGAGTAGCCACGCGTCACCCCTCCCTCTCTGATGGAAAGCTCTTTGCTTTCACACCCTTGACACTGCTGCCTCTGAAAGACCTGATTTTGTTTCTACGGCTGAATAAGACTTTTCCCCTGCTCTCCAGTCCCAATTGTAAATGTGACTGATAGTGTAATTCAATACTGCACGAGTTTGGAATATTCCCCTTATAATATACTAAAAAAAGTCAATTAGTTTTTTGCCCGAAGGTAATTTTTTCCTTTACAAACCTACTCCAGTTGCAGTTGTTTCACCTCATGAGTTTGTAGTGTTACATGACTGCTCTGTCAGTGCGCATCACTAGATGCTCGGTCCTCCTGTAGCACTCCTGTTTATTCCCTTTTTAAAGGAGAGTCCTTTACTGAACATTTGCCTTTACCAACCTTACCTTGTTGACAAGCAGCTAATCACTTACTAATGAGCCATTACAATTAGAAAATGCTCCGACCCGGAACAATTGACTTCACCAGGAAACGCCGTGACAGGAATTTGAGATTGACTAAAGCAGGATCTTAAACACAACCTCATGTGTTGCATCTTTTTCGTCCTGCCTCATTCAGCCGAACTCTCCGGATTAGTTTTCCTGTGCCTTTCATCCCCTCAAGCCCTGAGGTTCCCACGCCCCCATGTACAAAACAAAAGCAACTCCATTTAATTTTAGAAATGTTTTTGAACACTAGCAATGTAGGAATAGAAACATGTCTCCATTATTACCATTTAAGCATGCCTTTGCCTCCCACTATCCCCATCTACTGTTTACAAAGGGTCTGGAGTGATTTTATCTTCTGAAGATTGTGTTTAGTGATACAAGATGTATATTTCAGATTAGTACGCAAGCACAATTAGATAAGATTCTTTCCAAGGACGTAATACACACCGTTGTCAGATGGGACACTGCGTCGCCTCAGTAACCCGACGGCTCGGCCCGTGACGTTACGAGCGCCTGCTAAAAACCCTCCTAGATGTCGGCCATGGTGCTCTAAACGGATGCTTGTCTCTACCACTACCTTAACTAACAAGGTGTATTCAATCAGTTATGTCAATTGTCTTAATCTTCTGTTTCGCCTCCTTTTCTAAATAAATCAAAATTCACTTTTTAGAATCCTCAGCAGCATTTTGTGTGCGTTTGTGTGTTGGAGAACAAAGCTTCACTCAATTTCAGTATTTATTCACAAACAAATAGACCACAGAGTGTCTCAATTGGCATGGGGGCCTGCATCAACTCAGAAAGACACTGTGGGTTTACAAAAAAAACATCTACAAAAGGAATTAGAACGTCCTTTTTTTCTTAATTTTTGTTGTTTTTTTCTCTGCGACGGTCAGGGAGCGTGTGATTTCAAATCTCGGCACTCAGCTGGCCCCAACAGCGACTCATGACAACAAGGAGCAGCGTGTGTCTGGCCTGCGCGGCCTCGAGCCGCCTCGTAGCGCCAACACAAGGTGGAGCACGGAGCCGCCCTGGATCTTGTAGTCTGCAGCAGTCTTCTCATCGTTCCTGAGTGAGAGAAAGAGATGGATGACAAACTGCATCTTGCAGCAACTACGGAGCAAAAGTGTTGGCCATGTAGGGGAACTCACATCTGTTTGCCGCTGTAGATGAGTCTCTGTTGCTGTGGGGGGATTCCTTCCTTCTCCTCCACCCTTTCTTTAATTCGCTCCACCTTCATTTACACAAAGAAAGATGACTTAGAGAGGATACGGTGCCTTTAGAGTCAACAGCACCTTTTACCATCTAATAGCGATAATTTCTCACCTTGTCTGTCGGCTCAATGTCGATCTCTATTTCTTTTCCTGTGAGAGTCTGAAACAAAATTACACAATCATGTAGTTTGGTGTCTGAACACATGAGAAAGAAGAATTCACGAGAAAAAAACGGCCGTGTCCTTTTTTATTTGTGTTGGGTCACATCATGTTATGTAACACTATATCAGGGGGGAGAGTGAAATAAACCAACAGTACGAACCCAGTATCTCGTTAAAGGTCTGGTTTCGTGAGACCAGACACCCACATATAATGTCTAGTAATATCCTCACAGTGGGCGACTTGGATTCAGAAAATGATCGGCAGTTCTCTCCCTGTGAGCATTTTTTGAAAAGTCTATTCGTAGACGTTCACGTATAGACCAGTTTTCAACAGGATTCATAATATCGGTGGTAAAATTACAAATGTGGACGTACTTTCTTTTTAAACATCTAAAATACTGATATAGCACAAAGTAGAGGACGAAATATTACCGTAAACAAATCTCGTTGAAATGTGGTCTGAACATAGACGTATTTTCAACGTCTACGAATAGACAGTCTTTTTCTGGTCTTTTCAATCAAAAGACGTCGCGGCATAAAACAAGCTACGTGTAAATTAGGATATAATAAATGACCCCCTCTCGGTATAAACTAAATTAACGTTTTCGAGCCGGTGACTGGCGTTAGCAAACAGCAGCTGGGAGGAAGCGGAGACGCGCTAGCGTGGAGCAAACTATGGCCTTACCTTAACTTTGATCAGCATCTTGAATAACTAATTCAATACAATTCCAAATTATATGAAATGTCTCTGTTGACAAAAACACTAGACGTATCGGCGTTTTACAACCTGCTCTTCTCCGGCTGACTCTCACGTACTTCCTGTGTTCACAGCTAACCCCTCCGGGCATGACAGCGTCCAACCGAACGAAAAGATGGTTCCGGCCTTACGCAGAAATAGCGAAACGAGCTATAATAAGTCACAGAAGCTTTCATGTGGACACAAATATTTACATCATTGACTTATCAAAAAATATCAATATCTGATCAAGTGGCAAGCTATAAAAAATGAAATTTGAACTCCAATAGACCTAAAAGTTCTTGGATCATTATAAGGTTTAAATATTTGAATGGTGCAGTTGATCTAGGTGGTTAAAATTCACATTATTTTATGTCTAATATAGCTAACTTATGAAGCAAGTAACAACCAATTCAAATAATACATACTAATAACAATATTTTCCTCTGAATACATTGCATAATAGAGGTGTAGACTAAAATGAGTGCATGTATATATAAATGTTTTTAATTGCTATATGATCAAATTCACCTAACGTGAGTTACATTTGTCCAAAATGAATATTCTACAGTAGAAATGGAACTGTGAGAACATACAGAAACTCCACAGTATAAGTTGACGCTGACCAACTGACGCCTCGCTCTCACACAGGTGTTAATCATTCAACTCATTTGACAGGAAGTATACAAATAGTGTCCGTTCCGCCAAGCTCAGGACAATTCAGTCATGGTGGCTATTCTGTGCCTAGGTGTGATACTCTTGGTGGCCTACGCAAAAGCTGTTGCTAGTTCAGGTATTCTTTGCGCGTAAAAATGTGTCAACCTTCCGGTAGTTGTTCATGAATTAAAACGTGAATCATGTTGTTTGTTTGCAGACATCAAAGTTGTCTGTGGAAAAGACTTCATAAGAATCAAATGGAAGATCAGTGCGGAGTTGGTGCCGAAGGCCGCCCGTCTCTTCCTTGGAACCTGCATGGCTACTACTTTGAATGTGCTGCCTAGTGGAGAGGGGGAAGTCTACTTCAACCAAAAATTAGCTGACTGCCAATTTCAAAGATTGGTAATTCAAAAGCTCTATTCAACTAAAATTTCTGCCTCTCAAATGTCTCAATGAGCTGTCTTCCTACAGATAACACGAAAATATGTCACCTTCGCAAACGAGATGACTTACAGGCCAGAGCCGAGGTCCAAACCAGCTGCCTTTGTGCATGCCGTCCAGTGTGTTTATTTAAGGTGGCAGTATCTTTACTTTATTACTGAATAAAATTCCACTTTTAAATGCTGCAACGTTTAAGTTGAAAAATTTCTCCTGTTCTAATTCAGACCCCCAGGAATAGTTCCATCTTCCCTGAACCCTGGATACGGTGTTTCTGAAGGCCGAGGCAATCTAGTGTTCCACATGGCTCTGCTCGACGGTGAGTTCTGGTACTACAAAATGCTGACTTGGTCCACTCGCAGGGCCGCTCTCAACTTTATAGTTTCCCTACAGAGAAGCTATCAAGCGTAGCAAAGTCCAATGTTATCACCCTGGGTGCTCTACTGCCAATCTGGGCAACAGTGGAGCAGAAGTCCCATCAACCCTTGCTGTTGCTCATGGAGGAATGCGTGGCGACCTCTACACCAGAGCTGCATGCTGGTAGCGCCGTACACCCCATCATAGGCAATAAAGGGTGGGGAGCATGGAGTTAGTCTTTTTTTTTTTTTTTTCTTTAATGACTTTTCTAGGTTTAAAGACTTGCTGCTAATCTGCAACATTTACATTTCTTCAGGTGTCTTCTGGAAAGCATGACTGAGAACTCTCTGTTCCTTCCTCGCTACCAGACGTCTGCAGTGACCCTTGTCCTGCAAGCCTTCCAGTTGGGTCACGGAGAGGAGGTGAGTGTTGAAACTGCCATAAGGAATGTTTTTAGTAAATTCATATTTTGTAACTTAATCTTTGCAGTGTCATGTGCTCCTCAGGTGTACATTCATTGTAAACTGGTCGCATGGGATCCTGACGCTCTTGATGAAACTAATAAAGCCTGCCATTATAAGAAGGAAAGTATGAGGTAATGACTTTAAAATAAAGATTACCTCTTGCATTTAAAACTGCTAATCAGAGGAGAAAATGTTAATCCATTTAATTGACTTACCAGCTTTATCCATCTGAACTTTAATAGTCAACTCCCTGCTGATACAATGCCCCTCCACGATTGTGCCTTTTCTAGGTGGGAACTGCTCGACGACCCCTCGAACAGCTCCATCTGTAGTTGCTGTGACTCCACCTGTGCATCCCGCTTCAAAAGAGGAGTTGAACTGGGTATCACTATTCTGCCAAACCTGATGTTTGATATACCTCATTCTAAAATATAATTTTTTTTCATCAGAAATTTTAACCTTTCATTTGTCAGACCACGGCTTCAGTCACTTTTCTGTGTTGGGACCCCTGATCATAATGGATCCGTCTGACTCAAAGGCCAACATGTCTATGGAGTCTGTGCCTGCCCCTTGAGCCATAAAAATGTAAGGTCTTTGTTTGGAAACTGGAACTTTGGCTTAAACTAAAGGACTAAATCTCTGTTCTCTCTAGGAGTCCCAGTCCAAACTGACGCAGACTTGGTGGTCCTGCTTGACAAACAGATGGCTGTGGCCTCGGCCAATGTGACAGTACACTTTACATGATCTCAGCTTGAACTGTTTGCAGATTGTCAAATGTCATCATAAACAGTGTATACAAATAAACCAGTTGCAAACCCTACTCGGAATCTCTACTTTTTTTTTTTTTTTTTTCCCTGTGTCATCACACGATAAAATGGTACTGACTAAGGTTACTGCAGATGTCCTGATGTGGCAAACGTCATCTTGGACACATGCGTCTTATAATTATGGTCCATACCCTACATTTGGTTTGCTACAACAGGTCATTTAGCTGACTCTTTTATCCATTTTTGCCCAGGGAGCAATTGGGGGTTAGGTGTCTTTTCTCAGGGACACTTCGACGTGGGGCAGCCGGGGCTCAAACCACCAACCCTGCAGTTCCTGGTGCCCCCTCTACCCCTGCGCCACGACAACCCCACCTAGCTCTTGCAAGATGCCCAACTCTCAATGAATTTTGATTTTAGGCTCAAGTATCCGTTTTCCCTCTCATACTTAAGTCCGACCTTTCTTCATGAAGTACTCTAGAGTATTTAGCAACTGATTTTGAACACACTCTTCCTCAAACTAAATACCCGTTACTTCCTTCAGCGCTTAGTGTATTGTATCAGAAATTTCAATAGATAATTCACAAACCTGAAACGACCCCACTCTACATTGTCAGATTTAGGCCTCTTTAATCTGCAGGTGTTTTCTAAATTTGGTGTCATTAGATATATCAATTCCTATGAGAATTACTTGGTTTGGGTCTTATTTTAAACTTTGTTAGTAACGAGGTTACTTTGTGGCTGTTCACGCTTAAGTTACTCTACAATGAAATTCGTAGTTTTCTATGATTTCCTTTCACATAGCTGCAGTACTGAAACAGTAAAAAAGATAAGTGTGATACATGTTTAAATGTATATGTGAAGTCTTTTATGTGTCAAGAGAAAATCTTTCCGCCAAATAAAACACCTGCTCTCGTGCAGCTGATCAAGCTCCATCTAAGTGAAACACATCTGTGTAATGAGCTGCAATCGGTCCGATGGCCTCTGCACCTGAGACTGTTGACACACACCAGGTGAAAGAGGTTTTCTTGATGAATGTTCCCCGGTAACAAGGAATAAAAACTCTCACAGTGCCAGGAGCAAGCATCCAGTCATGATGGCTTTCTTTTGGCAACGAGCAGTGGTTTTGAGCCTGGCTGCTGCCATGTTGGTCTATGCAGGTAATGATGTAACAAAGTGGTGGATGAAGGTATGTGATTTGATTCCTCAGAAAGAACGAGTTTGAGTTCCTTGTGTTTTTCCCCTTTCCAGACATGAAGCTGGACTGCAGGCCCGACTCGGTGACGGTGGTGTGGACAGAGGGCCGATCCCAGGCTGATCTCTCGCTCTTGCGTCTGGGAAGCTGCTTCCCCACCAGCTTCTCGGCCACCCAGGCTGTTTTCAGAGTGGATTTCAATGACTGTAACTTCAGGAGACTGGTGCGTAGAACCTTCTTTAATATAACCCTTCAAACCGCGGGTCTGTTTCTTGCGGCTCATTGACATTCGTCTCTCTAAGGTAACTGGTGATTACTTGATGTACAGCAATGACCTGACCTACGGTTCTTCTTCTGACTCTCAATCTCCGGCCTTCACTCATCCTGTTGTCTGTGCCTTTGCAAGGTGTGTGTTTATTCTACCACATTGACTGTTTAGTAAAATGGCAGCAGTTGCTTAATTGGTTTGCTTTTTTTGTTGCAGGCCGAAAGACTGGTACCCCATGATTTATGACCCTGTGTTCAGTACACACGGTGTGGGTCGTCTAGTGTTCCACATTGGCCTCATGAATGGTGAGTTTAAAGTAAGACCGTACTGTATATGGTGGTTCTTAGGGTGACGTGTAACAGAATGACACTCCTTTACTGCTGTAGATGACTTCTCGGGCCCCGCTGAGTCCACTACCTTCGCTCTAGGCTCTTTTATCCCAATCATGGCCAGCGTGTCACAGAAAACCCATCAGCCCTTGCTTCTGCTTCTTGAGGAATGCGTAGCAGCGACCACACCGGAGCTGCAGCCCGACAGCCCTTCGTACCCGATAATCGGCAATAAGGGGTAATCGTGTATCACCCAATTATTCTTTTTATGACGTCCAGAACTTGAATGTGAAACCTCACTTTATTTTCTCCACTTCCAGATGTCTTGTGGACAGCAGGGTGTCTGGCTCCAAATTTGAACCAAGGCAGAAGTCATCAGAGCTCCAACTATCCCTTCAGGCTTTTAGGTTTGGTCTTGGTCAAGAGGTAACACTAAATTGTGCAGGTTTTAGTTTCAGGGCTTTATTGTCAACTTGAAGCCAACTCTGCTTTACAACCTCCGTCCTCAGGTGTTCATCCACTGTAAACTTGTGGCTTGGGACCCCAACGGTCTTGACAGCACCAAGAAGGCCTGCCACTACGTCAAAGAGCATGGGTAACAACGTCTAAATGATCGATTATTTGTTTGGTCAGTATAGTACTGCTATGCTGGCGACTAATTGAGTGCCTCTTCTCAATCATGAACTCAGCTGGGAGCTGCTGGACAACTACGCATACAGCACTCTCTGTGACTGCTGTGACTCTGACTGCAAGTCCAGGAGGACCAGGAGTATAGAATCAGGTACTTGACTTCTGACATGTTAACTTTGTCTAGTTTTGATGTGAACTTGAACTGTTTTCAAACAGGGACTCGTGGAGTGGCACAAAAAGCAGTCCTTGGACCACTTACCATTACTGATGCGACTTCTTGAAGTTCTCTTAGGGTAATTTTCATTCCACATTGTGCTAAACATTTATCCTTTTAAACAACGTAACACTTTCTTGTATTAACAGGACTGGATTCATGTTGCAACTTCACTCCGAATTGTATATTTATTTGGACTCTTCAAGGCGTAATGCTCTTTCCTGTTCAGATTCTAATGAAGTCATTAAAGATGTAACTTTTATGCTCATGTCCGTGTCTTTAATGGTTGACTTTATTATTATTTTTTTTAATTTGATCATCGCTTGCTCTCAGCCGACGTATTTGACATGCTATCTGTTCAGCAACTTGCTACAGAATGGGTTTAACCTAGACTTTTATAGACCGCTGAATAATTCTCCAACTATTTGTATAAACCCGACTTGAAGGATATATTTCACTACCTGTCCTGGAGTACAAGAATATCATGTCTTAAACGGTGCAGTGAATTTTTATATCTTTGATTAAAAATTTTTTTTTTTTTTTTTTTTAATGAGTCATATCCTTCAACCTATGGCTTTTTCACCTTGATGTTATCCCTGCACTTGATCCAGGTAGTTGTAGGCCTTTGAAATCCCTGACTATAGTGACCACTAATTTATTGGAAAAGCTCAGTAAGATTTCATACTGACTGCGATGTTAACCAGTCTTTAACAGTTTGTTAGCTAATCGTCTTGCTTTCTTGGAAACAATGTGGGGTTTGCAAATTGTCCCTCCTTTGCTCTTTTAGTTTATATTACTGGGCAGTAGTTTCCAAACTGGGGGAAAACATAGGGTTGGTGATGAAGCCACAACCCCGAACACACAGCCATGGTAAATAAGAACCAAGCGAAACAGACCGGACTTGACATTGTTTTTTTTTAACCACAGCCCCCCCCGAGCGCGTCAGAAGTTGCAAACGGATCAGCACATTGGCGTGGGAGACGTGCAGCATCAGAAAGACACTAAGCGACAAACTGTTTGAAAAACTTCCTGTTAAGTGTTTTTGCACTCTTCCAACTTCATTTTTAATTAAATTTATTTTGCTTTTCCACTGAAGTTTTAATGTAAACAAGGTGTTGGTACATTATATTAAATCACTTTATAAAGTTTATGCAGTTCATTTAAAACAATGGAACAATGCTATTTGGGAGACTGTTTGAGGGCGATCTCACAATGTCACATCCTCAAAGGAAGCTCAGACAAAAAGTTTTAACCACTGGTAATGTATTCTTTTACGATTTTGTTCGTGGATGACTGTTTTCTCTAATTCAAATTGTAATTATGGATGCTGATACTTTAGTTGCCTATGCTACACGGTTCAAATTAAACCGACTTCGAATATAAAGGATTTATTTTTTGTGGCAGAAAATCATACCATAATGTATCAAATTCTAATTGAATCCGTGGTTGCCTTGTGATTTCTACAAAATACCACAGATCGTGAGTTTAAATTGAAGTAAACATTGTGTTAGTAGAAAACTCCACTAATCTACTGGAATTATAAAGGTTAGACATATTTTCCAGCTTCTCTGAAAAGACTTCTCGTCCCCCAGACTTGCTATCCCATCGAAGTCAAAGCTCTTTTCTGCTTCTCTAGTCCAGAAATTGCAGATTCACACGTGTGACATCGATACTTTTCAAATATGTGTTTTTACAGGATACTTTAGGTGAGGGGAGAATTCCTGATCACTTTAGAGACTACTTCCAAACCAATTCAGAGGTTGACTTGTATCTAACTCTGCAATCTTCAGATCTCCTCCAAAAGCACCTATGAGCAGAGGTCAAATATCAATACGATTTTGGGGAAACAAATTCTGTAAAAGCTTTTCCCACATGACCAAAACATGTTCCTTGAATAAAACATCCCATCAAGTGTTGAACATTAATTGCTGGTTTGTATTTGTCATGTAATCCTCTTTTATGGTTTCTTGCCATACTCACAAGCCCTTATTCTGCTTTATCTCACAAGCATATTATACTCCAACACATTTACATGAACATTCTTTGTAAAGAGTGCTATTATTGTCATCTATCACATCGCTTAGAAATATTTCAGGTCATCATAGCTTATGAGTATTCATTTCATATTCTGTAGAATATTGTGATATTTAAATATTGTTTAGGTTTAAAATAAGCCGAGTAGGTTTTCTGCCTGGGAATTTATTTTATCTTTAGTACGCTTGTTTATTAAATTGTGTAAATAGATACAACTCTAAATGTATCTACACAAACATTAAAATCACCCACAATAAATACTTATTTGCCTTCAAGTTAACAACTGAGAAAATTCCACAAGACAGTCCACATATTCCGTACAAATGGGTGATTGTGTTTGATGTGCAGTCAAATGTACCACATTACATTACATTTAGCAGACGCTTTTATCCAAAGCGACTTACATTACACTTTAAACCCATGGCTTATTCACATTATTTGCCTGGGGAGCAATTAGGGGTTAGGTGTCTTGCTCAGGGACACTTCGACATGGAACATGGGGCAGCCTGGACTCAAACCACCAACCTTGTGCTTCCCAGCACACCTTCTCTAACCCCTGCGCCACGACGACCCCCCCATCTATGAAGAGGGCAGTTTCTGCAGGTGGAAAGTCAGTAGCTGTCCCACCTTGAATCCGTTCCATCACAGGCCTCCCTTGGTTTAACACAATGGCCAATTCCTCTGCTGGGTTGAAACCTGGTGCTGGTGCTGGTGCCCCCCCTAGTGCCAGACAAATGAGCCTTCTTCTTAACTGCTAAAATCAGTTTCAATAAAATATGTGGGCAGGCATCTTGTAAGTAATTTCTACACCATTTGCAAACTGTTAAGACCAGCTTGCAAAATGATTTTATATTTTATCGTGACCTGTTGGCAGGATATTTTTTCTCCAGTCTTGTTTGTTCTGTATGAACATTATTTGTAGAAAGATATTTGACAATGCTTATAGAGAACTTTCCTGTAAGTAGACAGTTTCAAATCCTTCCGCATTCAGTCGGTCTGCAATTGTTTGCCAGGCCTTTTCTCTGTTTAATTACAGCTGCAGTTTTGCACATTATATGCTTCACCTCCTCATAAGTTTCCATGATCAGTTGCTGCTCAGCGGGTTAACGATATGCAGCGAGCGTCTTCTCCATTTCTTCTCCATCTGTGATCGATACCGTGTGCACCTGGATTGATTTAGCTTCACCTTCTCATCGTGGCTTGGCAAACGTGCAACCGATAAAGCTGCGACGAGCGGATCACACTAAGTCAAGCGGCGCCTTTTCACTTATCCTGGATTTTTTATTGTACTTTTGTGCAATACCCCCCCGGAATCAGGAAACATTTATTACCAAAATATGTCAGACATACAAGGAATTTGACTTGGCGATTGGTGCAGCAGACAGTTATACAAAGGACAACAAGACAGATAAGACGACATAGTGCAAGAGGTATAAAATAAAATACAATGCTATGGGTTAGTATATAAGGATATGTGTTAGTTTAAAAATAAAGGAATAATAGTTTTTAAAAAAAAGAACAGAAAGTGACACGGGAAAGGGACAAGTGTATGTGCATGTGGAGTGTGAAGGGAGTGACCGGTGGGATGACTGAGTCAGTCAGTGGGAGACCCGGCTCTGTTGATGAGCCCGACTGCTCACGTTGTTGTGTCAGTTGTTGGTTGTTATAGATAGTGGTAAGTAGTTTCAGGTTGTTTAGTTACGTTGCACTATGAAACATTTTAAGATTGTTTTATGCATAAAGAGAAAATCTTTCCACAAAACCTGCTCACGTGCAGCTGATCAAGCTCCATCTAAGTGAAACACATCTCTGTAATGAGCTGCAATCGGTCCGATGGCCTCTGCACCTGAGACTGTTGACACACACCAGGTGAAAGAGGTTTTCTTGATCAATGTTCCCTGTTACAAGGAATAAAAACCCCTCACAGTGCCAGGAGCAAGCATCCAGTCATGATGGCTTTCTTTTGGCAACGAGCAGTGGTTTTGAGCCTGGCTGCTGCCATGTTGGTCTATGCAGGTAATGATGTAACAAAGTGGTGGATGAAGGTATGTGATTTGATTCCTCAGAAAGAACGAGTTTGAGTTCCTTGTGTTTTTCCCCTTTCCAGACATGAAGCTGGACTGCAGGCCCGACTCGGTGACGGTGGTGTGGACAGAGGGCCGATCCCAGGCTGATCTCTCGCTCTTCCGTCTGGGAAGCTGCTTCCCCACCAGCTTCTCGGCCACCCAGGCTGTTTTCAGAGTGGATTTCAATGACTGTAACTTCAGGAGACTTGTGCGTAGAACCTTCTTTAATATAACCCTTCAAACCGCGGGTCTGTTTCTTGCGGCTCATTGACATTCGTCTCTCTAAGGTAACTGGTGATTACTTGATGTACAGCAATGACCTGACCTACGGTTCTTCTGACTCTCAATCTCCGGCCTTCACTCATCCTGTTGTCTGTGCCTTTGCAAGGTGGGTGTTTATTCTACCACATTGACTGTTTAGTAAAATGGCAGCAGTTGCTTAATTGGTTTGCTTTTTTTGTTGCAGGCCGAAAGACTGGTACCCCATGATTTATGACCCTGTGTTCAGTACACACGGTGTGGGTCATCTAGTGTTCCACATTGGCCTCATGAATGGTGAGTTTAAAGTAAGACCGTACTGTATATGGTGGTTCTTAGGGTGATGTGTAACAGAATGACTCTCCTTTACTGCTGTAGATGACTTCTCGGGCCCCGCTGAGTCCACTACCTTCGCTCTAGGCTCTTTTATCCCAATCATGGCCAGCGTGTCACAGAAAACCCATCAGCCCTTGCTTCTGCTTCTTGAGGAATGCGTAGCAGCGACCACACCGGAGCTGCAGCCCGACAGCCCTTCGTACCCGATAATCGGCAATCAGGGGTAATCGTGTATCACCCAATTATTCTTTTTATGACGTCCAGAACTTGAATGTGAAACCTCACTTTATTTTCTCCACTTCCAGATGTCTTGTGGACAGCAGGATGTCTGGCTCCAAATTTGAACCAAGGCAGAAGTCATCAGAGCTCCAACTATCCCTTCAGGCTTTTAGGTTTGGTCTTGGTCAAGAGGTAACACTAAATTGTGCAGGTTTTAGTTTCAGGGCTTTATTGTCAAAACTTGAAGCCAACTCTGCTTTACAACCTCCGTCCTCAGGTGTTCATCCACTGTAAACTTGTGGCTTGGGACCCCAACGGTCTTGACAGCACCAAGAAGGCCTGCCACTACGTCAAAGAGCATGGGTAACAACGTCTAAATGATCGATTATTTGTTTGGTCAGTATAGTACTGCTATGCTGGCGACTAATTGAGTGCCTCTTCTCAATCATGAACTCAGCTGGGAGCTGCTGGACAACTATGCATACAGCACTCTCTGTGACTGCTGTGACTCTGACTGCAAGTCCAGGAGGACCAGGAGTATAGAATCGGGTACTTTACTTCTGCCACGTTAATGTCTTTGATTTGTAATTAAACTTGGTGCTAACTTTTTCTTTTCATTCAGGGACTCATGGTGTTTCACAAAATGCAGTCCTTGGCCCACTTACCATTACCGATGGCACCTCTGATACATTCTCATGGTAACTTCACTTTTTATATTTTGCTGTAAATTTACCCTTTAAAACTACCTAATCCCCCCCCCCTTTTTTTCTCATTAACAGGAATGGATCTTTTTGAATTTAATCTATTGGGTTATGAATCCTGCCTTACTGTATTGACTCAATTAAAGCTGTAACTCTATACTTTAACTATTGCTCGCTTGCAAGTGACTTTGGAGGTGTTTTCATCAGTCCTAGCCTTTCCATTACATCATAGCTAGATGTTGACAAACATTTTTCATTCTGAAGCTGCTTGATATGGACATATCAACTTAATGGCGCGTTTAACAATTATCCATTTTCAAGACGTCTTTACCAAAATGAGGATGTCTCTTTAGGGCTGAACCTTTTAACTAGGGTTAAATTGGAATTAAACAAATGGTCTATGGGACGACTTGGAAAAATGTTTTATTTTTAAACAACGGTAAACATTTACACTGAGTCTAAATAGCCAACTTGTGTGTGTGTAATCCAATGTTAAACCACCAATTAAAGAGGCAATTGTGGGAATCAATGCAATGCTTGTTTGCAGCACTGGTGTCCTCAACAGGTCTGAAAATGAGCAGTATTTAAAGAGTCATTGTAACGTTGAATGAAATTATAAGTATTTTATGTGGCGACTGTAACTAAAATACCTTCCTGCTGAAAATATGAACTCCTTAAAATAAGATGGCATCTTATTAATACGTCAAATTAAGTCTTGACTGATGGTAAAATTAGCCTTGACAAGGTGACTGGGGACGTTGTCACTCGGCCAATCGGAACGGGGACCGAGATCCGAGACTCGCGCTGCGAGCTGGAGGCGCAACTGAGCATCGAAACCAGCTAACTTGCCCCTGATATCAACGGGTAACGTTAGCTAGTGTTTACGAGACACCCAACACGAGTGTATAGGTAATGTTCTAACAAAGTTTAATGACCGTTTTGACTCTTCAAAAACGCTTCTTATCCTGTCGTTGGCAAACAAAAGCGACCCAGTCAAGTCTCCCAAATTGTAAGCTAGCTTTAGCTAGCGTTAGCTTGCAAACACTTTGCTAGCCAAATCGCCCTATACACAGCGGCCATATTGACGTCATCGCAGGGTAATTCCAGGTGAGCTATTATTTATGCCCATGTCAGGATGGAATAGTGGGCTCACTGGATATTATGATTAACGATAGCTAATTACGCATCTTTACTTCGCTATTCAACTGCTGTGACAATACCTGTAGTTAAGCTGTTGCCAACATTAGCTTAGTCAGCTGCTCCAGAATGTACTGGTGGATAAGTTATGCCAGCAGAATATCCTAGCCTAATGCTAAAATGGTTAAGCTATTGGTTAACCTTTGCATGAATATTTTATTTGACGTTATATTGTTACCTTGTGACAAAATCAAATCCATCTCAAACTTGAATGTCATAAAAAAAACGATGTCACAGGCTTGTCAATGATATGGCCAAAGTAGCATACCTGACACATTTTAAACCCGCCTTATACAAATCATTCATTTGAATATACTGCCGGGGAGGCTGGAGGATTTGAGGCGAGGAGTTTGAGGAGTTTGCTTTGGGCCCGTTGTGTTCTTCCACACTAGACCGGGCTTGGAGCAGGGGGACTTTGTCATGTGGAAAAGTCCACAGCAGGAAAAACAACACAATACTAGAAGTACACGTACCTGTAGTCCTATCCTGTAATATTTCATGTTACATAATCACATTTGTGTATAATGTGTTTGCAGAAGTGGAACCCCACAGGACTAAAAATGGACTGGTTGCACTGTAACCAGTGCTTCACCAGGAGAGGGTCCAGGTTTGCCGTGTCCAGCTGTGGCCACATCTGCTGTGACGCATGCATTAAATCCAGTGAGACTAATTCCAACTATTAAACTTGTTGTGAGGAACTTTTAATTGGGTGTGAAATGGTCTCGTCAATACTGATTCTCCTGTACGACCTACGTACATAAGTAAACCAGCATCATTGCTGAAGGAAAACGCAGACCACGTGCTGCTGGAGACCCACGCCATATTACCTGGCCTGCTGGAGGGAAAGGAGGCCCGGGAGATCCAGTAGTGAGCAGAGCAGACTGAAAGACCCTGTTGGAGTAAAATTAGTGCTTTTCTGGAGGAAACATCCCCACGCTTGTCAAAAGACACAAACACAAATTGAGAGTTCCTTGTACCTTTAACATCACTTGCTCAAAGACATTTGCCAGCTAGTTATGGCTCTGATGGTGATAATGTGTTTCCCACAGAGCAGTGCAGTGTATGCGGCGTCGGCTGCAGTTACTTGCACATCACAGATGAGGTTGGTGAGTTTGAAATCTCCACTGCAGCTTACAGCCTGATCCAGAACAGCGAGTTACATATTTATCTGCACCAAATATATAATATATGTTTTAGATGAAGCCACAGGAAAAGGTGTTTTTCGAGGACCCCACGAAACTCATCCAGTCACGGCTGGAGCGCATTTCACAGGTTAGTCCCGACCACTCAAGCTCTCGGCTACCATTTTAATTGCTGTACAGGGACTTTAAATGTCACAGCAGCCAGTCAATTAGTAACCCGTGAGTAAGTCATTCAGCCACAGACTGCTTCAGTTAGAGGGATGTTTAACAAGATTAAAAGCATCCCAAATGGTCATCGTCGTTTGTGCATCCCTGAGCTTCAATCCAAAAGCCAGTTGAGTCGCATTATGTTTTTATTTTCTTTGAAAGAGCATTTGATAGTGAGGTCTCTGTGCTCCCTAGATTGCAGTTTTCCAGCGGACGCAGACAGAGAGAGTGACGGCGCACTTCAGGCACAAGTCTGTTGAACTGGAAAGGCGACTGAAGGAAGTCACTGAGCAGAGTTTCAGGTAATTTCAATATCTGTTGTTGTCCCTTTGTGGCCATGTAAATGAACCCCCACAAAAGGAACACCATTCTTCCCACCTTTGTCTTCACGAGGCAACTCTCTGAGTTGAAAAGGGAGAATGCTGTATTAAAAAAGCAGCTTTTAGAACTGAAAAGAGAGACCGATGATTTGAAAAAGCCACTTTCCCAGCGCAGGGTAAGTATTCCGAAAGTGTAATATCGATGCCAAAACCACCAACAATTGGGTAGCGAGTTACACATCTACCTTTGTGTTTCCCACAGGTTTCTCCAGGACAGTTTCATACAAACAGGTAAAATCAAATGTCCCTTTCAGGACTGTCCTCTTTAATCCTAAACACTCCTGTATTTAAATCTTTAACTGCTCTCATGTATATAGAACTCAACGGATGTCCCTCCCGGTGGCCGTCACCTCTCCAGGTAAACCCAGTGCTTTAAATTGAACCGTTTCAGTGAAAGTTGATTACAGTTGATGTGCATGTTCTCTTTTTACCAGTCACCCCTCGTTCCAGAAGCATGAAGTACGTACTGCATCCTCTGATGGATTTTATTCTGCATTTACAGCACCATTGTGTATCAACACTATGAAATGAAAAGTAAGTGAAAGTGAAAAGTACTGCTAAAACATGTCGTCTTTGTCTCAGCTACTTTAGCTCAGAAGAGTCTCGCGGGTTGGCCAGAGACCGGGGTCGCAGTCCCGCCTCCCTCACAGTAAGCGTTAGCTGAACTCTAATGTTTTGTTCACCTCGTAAACAAATGTGAGAATGTTGGAGATGCAAGGGTTTTCCAAAAAGTACTGAACAAAATATAGATACATTTGTTCTTAGATGTGTGTTAAAGACCAACTGTGAAAGACCAATGTCAACAAAGCAGTGTGAAAATTCAGAATTCATAATAGCTGATAATAAACAGCTTTTACCAAACCTTTAATGAGGTCTGTCCTAGGCAGCGAATGGAGTTAGTTCTACCGTTAAGATGCTATCGCCATGACAACCCCATCCACTGATGAATAATATGAAATGTGGTTGAAACCTCTGAAAGGTCGAGTCTTTCAAAGTACAGATGGTTTTGTCAGACTTTAATGTCCATGGTCAGAAATGAATTTTTAGACTCACTGCACATTCATACTTAAGTTCTCATTGTTACATTGTTCAATATTCACTGATTTTAAATAGGACTTATTTCTGTTTCTGTCAGACTCCTGGATCAGTTTCCTCTATTTCGAGCCACAGTTCTCTTCATGAACATGTACACGGTAGGTATTATTGCAGAGAAGTTTTGGAGCTCCACCAGAGGTTCTGTGATTAAACAAGAGATGTAATTCATGCCGTCGTTAACCCGGGATCCTCTCCCGTGTTTCAAATAGGAACACCCACGTCCTTCAGCACTCCTATGAGGTAAGAAACGCTCACCAATCACCATTGATGTCGATGTGAAGATCTTCTCATGCGATCAGCCCATTTCTGTCATCCTCAGAACTCCGCGTCAGACGCCTAATGTTTTCCCGTTCCAGTTTATGAGTGGATTATCAATACATTCACCCCGACATCAGTGAAGTGGCCCCTGACAATTGGACTAGTTAAGGAGTCCGTAGCCATTGTTTACTTTCTTTACCTATCACCAGTTGGCACCAACGATTTAATTTATTAAAATAGAGATGTTAACTTTACATGGATATTGAACTGTTGTTAACATGTGGTTCTGTTGATCAAATTATCTGACAAATTGTGTTATTTATCAATGGTTATTTTTGCAAAAACTCGCAACAACTTTGATATCATTTGATATCATTTCTGCAGTGTGGCTTCTGAATTCATATTTAATGAAACAATAAATTTGATGTTAAAATCTGTAGCAGTCATTACAGCACACACACAAAAAACATTGCTGCACGCATGATTAGAAAGGCAAATCCTTTACTGGTTTCCAGTGACACAGTTGTGCAAATGAGGATTTGTTTTCATACACGGAAGACATTTGCAAAGGAAGACACTAAGCATTATGGACATTTGCCCACGGCATGACACTTGCATTAACTTTTAATTTCTAAAAGAATGACAGAAGCCGGCGATGCACACGGCTCTATCAACATTCTAACGTTTCCCTAGACGTTCCTATTGAACTCGACTCTCGCCTCTATTTAAAGCCCACTTCTCCCTCTCCATGTCAACTAAGTAGTACTTTAAAAACGTGAAGTTCATCTGAACGGATGACCTGAATGTGTAATGTTTGTACAACAATTCGTTACGAGTCATTAGAAATGTTTTCTTTGGATACAGACCATTTGCTACTTATACAGTACGTTCGGATTTTTCATCTAGGTTTTCTAAATTATAAACCATCTAGTCACACTCTATCGCTATGAAGACAAAATAGATATACAAATACTGACTGAGTTACTGAGTGCAAATTGAAGTTGCTAATTGTGACATTTGAATGCTGCTGATGTGGATGCTGCTGTCCTGGTAGATCGCGGGTTACAGCAGAATGTCTCAAGGACGATCTGGGAATGTGTCCCAGACATGTGCTTTAAAGACATTAGTAGAATCTGATGGACTATGCTGTTTTTAAAAAGGCGTGATAAAAGGTTTCAGTGTTAAGGGATCAAGGAACTGGATTTCATGATTATGACAGCAGGCTCTAAAACCAAAGTGCAAGATGTCAACTTAAAGTGTACATGTCCAGTGTGCTTTTCATGACAAGGAATTATTGGCTGTAAAAGGAATGATTACACACAGTGATCAGTCAACAAATTCACCAACAGAGACATCTTCCTGGAACAGTTACTTGTCTGCTTTAGTCAGGTACTACGAGTACAACCTTTAAATTATACTGGTACAATAGCATACTAAAACTTCTGTAGTAGAGATATCTAACAAACATAAGCTAAAAGTAAAAAAATAGTAGAATAAACCAGTGTACAAGTTACTGTCCTATTTACAGCAACATGGGCAGCAAAATTATAGTTCAAGTCCAAAATATATATTAGGATAAGCAGGAAATGCAGCATATGTGTAAAAAAAAAACCAAACCTTTTTGGGGACTTGTGCTGGGAAGACCGGATGTTACAAACCTGCTAAATTAAAGCAATTTAAACCAAAGTAACAACTACGCTGCTTGGTGCAAAGGATGCGAGCAGCACTCCACCAACTTAAAGAAATGTTCTCGACCGGTTCCAGGGTCTTAATCATCAAAGATCGGTTTTTCCTCGGTACCCCCAACATCCTGCCCTGCAAACCAATCCCGCACTTGCTGGTAGCTCATTCTCGATTTCTTGCATAAAGAGTCCAGGTCTCTTTCGTGTAGTGAGCCGGTTCCGAGGTAATACGCTACCAACGGCTGGATATCAGGGAGATCTGCACTGGATGCGGTCGCTTGAGACTTCCGTTTGCGCCCGCCGGCCCGAGTGGACGTCGCAGAGCCACTCCCGTTAGTCAAGCCGCCACCGCCGCTGCTGCTCTGCTGGGCCGCGAGTTCTGCCAAGAACTGATCGCGGACCCCCTTCACCCAGCGCAGCTGGCCATTTTTTACGGCGTACCGCGTGTCCCCGAACCACTGAATGACATCGGCCCGGGGCAAATTCGTAAGCTTAACAAGTTCGGTGTAGTCTTCGCTCTTGGGCCACTGGCAGCGCAGGAAGTGCTGCTTCAACACATCCAGCTGCTCCTTGGTCTTTCTTGGTCGCCCAGCCGGAGTGAGGGCAGGGGAAGTGGATGTGGATGAGGGAGCCTTTGAGACGTGCAGCGGCGTTTGTGAAGGGCTGGCTTTGGCTGAGTGGGCGGACTTCTTTGATGTGCTGGTGTTGTTTGAAAGCGGCTTGGAAGGTGAGGCGCTCGGCGGTGGGCTTGCAGAGGGGGAAGAGCAGGGGGAGGTTTTCAGGTCACCCGACGGCTCCTGTGGAACGTCCGGCTCGATCTTGCAGGTCAGCTGCAAGGGCAGCTCCTCACTCTGTTCCTCATCTTTCAAACTGTCCCCATCACCAGAGAGCTCCTCCGTGCCGTCATACCCTTCTGCCTCAAGGACCCGGTCCCCGAACGCTTCCAGGCTGTTGGACAAAAAGGTCTGAAAGAAATGAGAATTCCTAATCCCATTGCTCCGGGCGACCTCCTGGCTCTTCACCCCGTTGAGTTGACTGGGCTTTTGTGTAATGAGCGGAAGAGGTTGGACTTGTTGGTCTTGTTTAGCTGCGGTGTGTTGTGAGTAGTTCTGGGCTGCAGCGAGGCTCCCTCGGCCAACCCTCAGCTGGTACCGGCTGTCGCTGAACCACTTGCGGATGTCGTTGCGACTCAGCCCGGTTTCTTCCTGCAGGCGTCTAAGCTCCGCCTCTGCAGGCCAGTTCTCCCTCAGGAAGCTCTTTCGAAGGGCGGCGAGCTGAACTTTAGACTTTTTGTAGCGCCCGTGGCGATGCTGGCGGGAGGGCGACCCTGAAAGGTCAAGGGAGACGTCGGCCGCCGTGCTCACTGGCGTTTCCACTGGTGGCCGGTAGAAGTATGAATCCTGAGGAGGTGGGAGGGTGGAGCTGAAACACGGGGCGGTGGGTTTGGTTGGCTTGTAGGAATCTGGGGACTCGCACTTTAGTTTTGACTTTGGGGGGCTGGGGGGAACACCTTCTACCTTGTTGTTATCCTTCTCGTCAATCACCAATTCCTCAATACCGTCAGCCTTACTCGTCATTTCGGCCTCCTTGTTGGTGTCAGGAGAGTCCTCACAAAGCTCAGGCACTGCCAGCTTTCGCCGCGTCTCCTCGATCTCCTCGGAGGACCAGCTGATACCGTATTTAATTCTCTGCACCATGAACCACACCTTAACTTTGTCCAGTGGCAAGGCACACACCCGGGCCAGCGCGCCGACCTCGCGAGATGACGGGTACGGAAATAAGTTAAAGGCTTGGATCAGCTCTGCGATCGTGTCAAGTTCACGGGTTTGATCAGACTGCGTCCAAACCAACTTCAGTCCCTCCGACACCAGAGGCAGGCACACAACAGAGTTGTGGTTGGTGGTGAAACTGGCCACGCCGCTCACGTTGCCGTCAGCAGAGTGGCGCAGATCCTTGGAAGAGCGTTTAGCTTCAAGTTTCCCTTCACATTCTGTCTTTGTTGCTTTTCCTTCAAAATGCCCCCTCATGCCCATAAGTAGTCCGTTTCTGCCATTGTGGTCACTGTAGGTCGCCATCTGGGACGTCAAAATGGGCTCTTTCACCTAAGGAGCAAAAAACAACAACATGGATTTAGTTGCAGTTGTCCTACTTATCTCAGAGGGCAGTTTTCACCACCGAGAAGATCACTTTAGGGAAAGAACATTTATACCGGTGGATGCAACGGTACGAACTATGACGTTAAAAGAACTTTTGGTTCTCATTCAAAGTCAATTATCTAACAGCTGTTTCCCCTCCCCCACCCATACTCCTTATTCTGAACTCCCAGTGAAACTAGTCGTATACTCTGTCCAGACTCGGTTCCCCTCCCCCCAGAGTGTGGTGACTGACTTTTGTTTTGTGTGAGTGGGGGGGTCGGTCGCAAAGGGTGGGTGCGCGGGGAACGGGGATCCATGAGAAATCCATCGCAGTCTGCTTTCTCACCCTTTCCCAGTCCGGCTTTGTTCCACTCCCAGATCCTCGGCCCTAAAGATGAGTGCAGCCTCTTGACAAAGGCCGATAGCACAAGAGAGACCTGTGGATGTAGAAAACGAGCTGCATTAGTCTCCATCAAGGCCAAGTCTAGGCATTAAAAGACCCCGACTAAAAGAAGCCTTTTTTTGTTTTGTTCTTTTAGCAACAGGTGTAAGCCAGCTTACAAGTACACCACACATCTAGTAGTTAAACACAAGGATAATTATTCAAATGTGTCTTTTTTTTTAAACATTTTGATTTTCCGATGCAGTTATTACATTAGTATTTTAATATGGAGTCTTTCAAGTAGCCATCTCTCATATAGCAGTACTGTGCTTTATTGAAGACAAAAGATGAAATATTGCACTTCAAAAGAAGGTTAGGTCATAGAAGACATTTAAGGTCCCTTGAGCCACGCTAGGAATTAGTACGTGAACCAAAAACAATGGCAAACAATTATGAAACCAGAGTATTAGTCATGCGTGACACACTGAACCCACGGATGAGATCATGTGGTGACGTCCGATGCGTTACTGCGACGCGCGAGTGAACATGTTGTATTTTTGTATTAGTGTGCCCAAAAAGAAGCGCTATAAAAGTTGCTTTCGGTGCGGATCACAATAGCAGCCCAGCGAGTCTCCCTCCTCCTCCTTCATGGCGTACTAACTAAAGCGCTCCCCTCTGCACAGGCGCACTCCGCCGCCAGACACGCTTCAGTGGAACATTAAAAATAAACTTACCGAAATGCTGCTCCAACCCGTTATCCCCGCGGAGCCGTGGAAGCGGAATGAACACAAAGGGGGACGCGGGAGTTATCCCTCCGCCGCTCCGCCTTCTGGGGCCGAAGTTTTAGAGGAAGACCCCGCGAACAATAAGGTCCGTCTGTCGGGTTGACCCTCGTCTTGTTTATCACCTCGACGGATTACGGACGGGACACAAAGATGCACGCGACCAAGTTTTAGTCTCCTTTCGGGAGGAGTTGGCTCGTGGGTTTAGTCCTTTCCCGCGCGGGGGGGAGGGGGGCGATTATCTCAATCCTCGGGATTCAGGTCGGAAGCCGAGTCGCCGTTACTTCGCCCTCCTCGGTCCATCCGTCGTTGCTTTTGTTCTTTAACTGAGAAGTGTTTTTTTTTTTTTTCGCCGTCCGGTCAGATCGAGGCGAGGCGGAGCCGAGGACCAGGAAGCCCACAAGGCCCAACCGACTCTCCCACGCAGTGACGGCGGGGTGGGTGTCGCCAGAGTGGGAGAGCAGCCCGTGGATTGGCGGGAGGAGGCGCCTGTATAAGAGCTCCGAGGGGGCAGTGGGCGAAACGGGTTTCACGTCACCCGCCCGCCCACCGCCCACCGCCCACCGTCGGTCCCCGCCGCGCCGCTCACGTCTCGTTCCAGTGAAACAAACAAAGTGCTGCTGACCCGAGTCATTACATTCCTGCTCCACTTCAAACACGCCGGCGTTTCACGGACTGTTGAATCAAGTGAAATACAACTTACATAAAATAGCAGGTGCTTGAGCATTTAAGTAGATCAATGAACAAATTAAAGATCCAAATAAGTAAAAGCATTTTAATTAGCCGTGTATACATTCCATCCGCCAAAAATGATGAATCATTCAGATGAATAAACAGAACAACATTTTGTCTTTGCATTACGAACAACACGGACACTGTTATAGTGATTAATTCATATATATATATAATATATATATATATAAAATATATATACATTATGTATATATATGTAATATATATGTATGTATATACATATATATGTATGTATGTATGTATACACACACACACATTATGTCAGAGGTAGCGATTATAATTCATAGTTAACAGCAGTAATTAATATAATCAAATAGACACTATTTTGATAATAATATTTCCATATAGGAGATACAACCCTTTACTTGAGAATAAATCTGTTTCTATGCAGAGTACATTTTTTTCAGAAAGGAATGAAAAAACAGCAGCAAGGTTCTTTATTTAACCAGTTGTTACCTAGACGGTCGAGTACCGGGGGAGTGGGAGTGGATGTAGTGTTGGACGTGAAATAGAAATATAGCAAAGCTAAATATTAGTGAAAAACACAGACCCATTGAACGGTTTCTCCCACGTTTCATCTTCAAAGAGATGCTTAAGAAAATATAAAACGCGTTCTTATTAATAAATTCACATCGTGCGGCATCACTCACAGATAACAGTAATGTTAAGGTTAAATTGATGTTCTCTTTCTTGACCTCAAACTTCATAGAACCGCCTTCGTTAACGACACAAGTGGGATTATACAAAATAAAGTGTTCAATAATACTCCTTTAAAAGATATAGTTGGGAGTCACAGCTGGTTGTCACCTACAGGCAGACATGGCGACTAGTTCCGCTAGAATTTGGACCACTTCGTCAACATATCGTACGATACTGCCACTCTGGTGCGGATGGGGGGAATGTTTAGAAGCGGTTACTAGCCAGGGTGAGCGCAAAGCGCGGCAGGCGTAGGAATGAAGGGACTACCACCGACAGCCAGGAGAGATATGGCACCTGGCTCAGGAGGAATTTCAGAGAAGTGTAGTCAGCTACAGTCCGTCCTGGAGATAAACAGAGACAAAACAAACAGGTCATGTGACTGAACATCATAATAAGGAAGCAAAACATGAACACAAGCAGCAGATGCTCACTGACCATCAATGTCTTGTATGCCGTAGCGCCTTGCCAGGTCACAAGTCAGGAGTACCTTCCCAGTCAGAGACATCAGATGTTTATCTGTTAGGAAAGAAAACGTTGACTTAGTTTGCGAATGAACAAGAATAACAGTTAAATTGAGTACAGCTCCTCAGCAATCATTTAAAAAAATGTAATCCCACCGTTTGCCAGGTTGACGATGCACATCCCACTCACTTCTGTGGATTCCCCATTGGCAAAGACTTCTTTGAACTGAGCCAAAAAAAAACAGATTGAGCACATAAAATAAAAAAACCTGCGGTGAAGAATTTACTGTAAAAGGAGAATGTACCTTGTTATCTACACCTTGTGTCTTTTCCTTTTCTAGTACGAACTGAGACACCAGCTCTGTTTGTACGGCTCCAGGCCACAGACTCACAGAAGCCACGCCCCTTCCTTTAAGCTCCACCGCCATGTCTGCTGCCAGCCTGTCACACTGAGACAAATAACAAAACAAAACCGGTTGACACGACAGCGTCTCACCTAATTACACAGCACATGTGCATTCATCATATTTGGCCTCCTGACAACATAAATCTGGGACTAAATTAGAACTTACTGCAGCCTTGCCAACGCCATATGGCACATTGAAGAGATACCGCAGACCCCCCATGGACGAAATCGTGACTATCAGACCCCGACCTTGAGCCACCATCATCCGGGACGCGTGAACTGAGAAGAAATAGTGGCCCCTGCCAGATAAAATAAAAATCGTTGGTAAACAATGCCAACGAATACTGATAACTGTCAGTGAACACAGCACACTACTTTTCACATCACTCTTACGGTGTCTAGGAGAGTCACCTGGAACTCAAACGTAATAAAAGAAGAAAAAAAAGTAGTAACAGCTGATGTCTGACGTCTGGTCTCGTCGACTCATCAGACATGACTAACAGAAAAGCATACCTGAGGCCCGTGTTGTTGATGGAATCCCAAATGGACGGATCCATTTCCCAGAACTTGACCCCCATATTCTCGAAGATGGCCTGAAAGAACCCATCGTGTTTTAGAGGTCAAGCTAACAGTCTAACGTTTTTTTTGATTGGCCTCCTAATTTTGTTCATGAGTACTTCCGGTTGTGTTCAGGCCGTGGATCTCACCTGGACTCCAGCATATGCGTTGTTCACCAGCAGGTCCAGCCTGCCCTTCTGCTCACGCTTGATCTGTTCAAACACGTCTTCGATGTCTTTGTCTTTTGTGGAATCGCAGATGACCGGGACGCACTTCCCCCCCCTTTCCTTCACCTGTGTTGACAACAAACGCGTCAGCCAAAGCGGCTTCAACACACAACCGCTAAGAAACGGCAACATCGCAGGGACGACGGCGTCAGAGTGGTCCAGACCTCAGCTGAGGTGTGGGTCACAGGTTGATTGCCCCGTTGCCAGTAAGAGACTCTAGCAGATTCAAGCTGGAAACGTCACCTGGGCAGCAGTTTGTTTCAGAGTGGTCTCCTGGCGCCCGGTGATGTAGACGGTAGCTCCCGCCTCGGACAGCTGGAGGGCTATTCCCCGGCCGATGCCTCTGGAGGCCCCCGTCACCAAACACACCCAGCCAGACAAGGACATTCTCCCTGGGGAAGAGACAATAAACAAGTGAGATAAGAGATAAGATCCAATGTGAAGTAGGAAAGACTCAGTCAGTCTAGTATCATCAGAGGTCAGCTGGGGAGTACACATGATTGCCACACTAGTCACTGTTACTTCGCATTGCGCATGTGCAGTCAACAGCTGATGATGTCATGATGTCACTGATTCATTAATGACAAAGTTACTGATCATCAATGAAGGTAAACTTTTGCCCCGATCACAACATACATGCTTTAAAAGTCCATCGCAGTCCGCTTATTTGACGTTAATCAGGGATAATAGAACCTGATACAAGTGTATAATTCACACAGGTGACTATATGACAAAGCAAAGATACAACCAGAAACATGTGTTTAAAAAAAAGAACTATAGCGTTTACACTTTACTCGCGTTCTATTGTTCGTATGATATATCAACCCATTTTTTAGACAGTTGCCTGAAAGTTATTTAATTGTAGGAGTACTGGTTATACTTGATCGTATCGCGATGCAAGGAATGCATGAACAGAGCCAAGACCCGACTGTTACTCAACTCCGATTGGGGACTTGAAAGTTTAAAGAATTTGCTTGAATAAAAGACTCTTTTACCTTATTCGGACTTCAGGCTGAGACAAGCGAACGGCTCTGTAGTCAAACCTTAGCGTCTGCTGTTATTATGTCAATGACCGGTGACGCGAGCAACAATGTGAGCAGTGTTATTTCCAAAGAATTTCGAGGCACCGTTTTCTGGTCGTGATATCGCGAGAAGACGCGGGACGACGCACCGAGAGGAGATTACGAGCTTTCGTGACGGTTGGTTACTAAACTTTACGTTGAATGAGTGAAAGACAATTGTGGATGTCGTGTTGGACCCGCATGCTATACGTCTACCGATTTGTTGTGTACACATCCCCACATTTTCCACTATTATTTTTTTACAATTTTCCACATGGCGTTAGGCCTAGAAAACACCACACGATGGCGCCATAGTCTTGCTAAAAATACACAATGAATGTGCGCAATAAGGGTCGGTTTTTAACAGAGAATAGAGGCTGGGGATATAAAGGTCTGTGCTGGTCTGCTGCTGTAATACTACTTCAGAAGCAAGGCAAGTCTATTTGTATAGCATATATGAACGATAAGGACATTTAAGATTCTTCACATGAAACCATTAAAACCACCAAATTAGAAGTTTGTTTGCTCAGTCCAACAGGAAGTGATTTATTTAAACCGTTGTTTGGGAAATACAGAGGTGGACGACATTTCAAAGATCCCATCGAGTCACCAACATTTTTTGAGTTGAATGACAACAAATGAATTTAGTGATTTAAATTAATTCCTTCAATTTTAATTACTTTAAAAACTTGTACCGTTGTATTTGTAGTGTCTCCCATTTGCACAATGGTTTAGCCTCATGAAGAGGACTCCCTGTAACACCGCATCAACATAATCCCTCTATTATCCTCCTCAACAGGTATGACGGAGCAGCTGGCACATCACAGCAGACCACTCAGCCATCTGGGTGAGTATTGAGCATTTCAGAGCCAGAGGAACATTTCTATGTGTTCTCTAATGAACCATGCGCTCTTCCCGCCAGATGACGAAACATGCAGCTCCACCTCTGCTCTCCCTGGCTGTGAGCGTTAGGCTGTAAACGTGGCATGTATCTGTGACAGATGACAGATGTGTTGTTGACTCCTCCGGGTCTACAGCTGTACTGTATGATTACATCGTCAGCAGATCCTTTCCCCATCGGCCTTATTGCCATAATCTCATTACACAATCAATGTCTGTCAAATCAACATTTGTAGCTATCATTTCTGACAAAAAAAGATACATTGCTCGTACTAAATACATCGATTAAACATGCATTTTCCAGGAGCCGGTTATCAATAAAACTGCCTGAGTGTTACAAAGAAATTCTTAGCAGAAAAACAGGACACAGTTAGCTTACATGGATGATCACAGCAGAGATGAACAAATTGTTTTAATGATACGGTTAAAGGGGGAAAGAATATCCAAATCTACTTGGCCCTATGTGAAAAAGTAATTGGAATTGAACTCAGCTTTCAAAAAATGTGGTTAATCACAGTTTTCTCAAGACACCAGGAAGGAGGCAAATACCATTTTCACTGTATATTCAGGGTTTTTGGGCCACCCACTCAACGTTTTAATAACTTGGTTGTGGCTGTCTGTCAAAACATGTTTGCATGTCCTTCCAGGCTTGATAAATCCTAAAGAGACATCGGACCCCCTTTCTGTTGGAGTAATTAAATTAAATACAATTCATTTTACTTTGTATAGCCCAAAACCGCAAATTACAAATTTGCCTCAGAGGGCTTTACAGTCTGTACCCATACTCTGTCCCAAAACCCCCCCACATCGGCACAGGAAAAAACTCCCCAAAAAACCCTTCCGTGGGTAAAAAAGGGAAGAAACCTTAGGGAGAACATCAGAGGAGGGATCCCACTCCAAGGATGGACAGACTACAATGGATGCCATGTGTACAGAATGAACAATGTAAAATATGAATAATACATTCAATTCCTATGACAGAAATTATTCAATTAATTGTGAGTAGCAAGCCAGGCGCACGGCAGGACCACTGCAGGGGCAACCACCATCAGATAGAACCACCATCCACAGAAGCCTGTGGGGAGGGAGAGCACAAAGACTTTAGGAGAGGGTAATGTTGGTTTATGAGTACAGTAATATGATTAATATTTAAAATAATAATGATGATGATGGCAGCAGCAGAGTCCAGAAGGAACTACGATCTGCTAGGGGAGAAAGCACAAAAAACTCCCAGAAAGAAGCTGAATTAGTCATGTGCATTACTAAAATGTGGATTATTGTAGAAAGAGAGTGTGAGAGAGGAGCTCGGTGTGTCCTAAGAAGTCCCCCGGCAGTCTAAGCCTATAGCAGCTTAACTAAGGGCTGGTCCGGGCTAACCTGAGCCAGCCCTAACTATAAGCAAAATCAAAGAGGAAAGTTTTAAGCTTTATCTTAAAAGAGCTGACCGAATCTGCGCCCCGGACTGAAAGTGGAAGCTGGTTCCACAAAAGAGGTGCTTGATAACTGAAGGCTCTGGCTCCCTTCCTACTTTGTAAAACCATAGGAACAAGTAACTCTATCTATGGAGCGGAGCTGCCTTGTAGGGCAGTAAGGTGTTACAAGCTCTTTAAGATACGACGGTGCCTCACCAGCAAGTGCCTTGTAGGTGAGGAGAAGTACCTTAAATTCTATTCTTGATTCAACAGGGAGCCAGTGCAGAGAAGTTAATACAGGAGTAATATGATCCTTTTTCTTAGTTCTTGTTAATACACGTGCTGCAGCATTCTGAACCAACTGGAGAGGGTTAAGACATTTACAAGAGCAGCCTGATAACAAAGAATTACAGTAATCCAGTATAGAAGTAACAAATGCATGAACAAATTTTTCTGCATCACTTTGAGACAGGAAGTTCCTGATTTTTGATATGTTATGTAAATTTTTAAAAAAGTCCTTGAAGTCTTCTTTATATGAGAGTTGAAGGTCATATCCTGGTCGAAGAGTACTCCAAGATTCTTGACGGTGCTGCTGGGTACTGTCGTGTGAGCAAAACAATGACTACACTGGAGACTTAAATCAAAGCAATATGACAACGTTTATTTGCAACAAGAGTATTCTGACCTGTAGTTTAACGTGCACGGACCTATTTCAAGCAGTGAAATTACAACATGAAAAGGCGCTTAATCCAAAATGCGCTCGAATTATATAGTCTCTAAGAGCGTTTTTGATTGATTATTAAGATGGAGGCTCCTGCTTAGAACCCTCGGAGAGCCCCATTGGAGCACAGGGATGTCCATCCATCTAGGCTCTCGGATCAACACGCCTCCGGTTGTTCATGAGTTCTACATATCAGGATGTTTGCAAGATGATTTGCATATAAGTGGAAGGCATAGTTCTATTTATCAACATGTTATTCTTAGAAAGGGGGAACAGGGGCTTCCTGTTGAACTTCATTTGACCCAGATAGTGCATGCATCTTTTTGCAACATGTTCGTGTGCATGATATATGTTGTTCGTGCAATCCGGCCTTTAAGCGGCCTTCACCCATTATTACTATGCATTTATAGTTCAAGTGTAATTTCATTCTAGCGCTCTAGTGCTCTGTGCACTTTGTAATTCCAATTCTCTGCAGAGTACCATGAAAAGCACTAAACAAATTAAATGTATAATTATTATTATTATTATCAATGTGATACTGACGAGAACAGCGTGGCATGTTTGGCTTTTCTTTGTCATTCTATTAAACGTTCGTCATATTTCTACTCCCTCCATGAAAAGGCATGACTTATCAAATAATTATCAGTGTGTTTGTCAACATGAATGGCACCTTTTTACTTTACTATTCATTCATAATTTTTCAATATACAAATACTCATTGGAGCAACTTTAAAGAATATTTCCATGGTGTTTGAACAATAATGGAAACATCATGCAAAAGAGGAGCACAGGAGTTCCCATGGCAGCCAGTGTGTGTTCATGTGGTCGGCCCTCTCAACTCAAGGTGCTTACAACAGATGATTAGATTTAGGACTAGGGCTGGAGACATTCACAACTTAAAAATATGGGATCAAAGAGGAGAGGTGCTCTGAGATTCTTCTGCTCCGATAGTTCCCACACAGCTGGTGTCATGAAAACTTCCTCAGAATTAAAACCATGATTAGCTTTAGACATTAATCTAATAAAACAGTATGCCATCATTATATTTTACCATTACAGTAACCGGTGTCTCTTGATGCAGGCAGTTAAGATCAAGCAGGTTTTGTTCTAATGCCAAGGCAATAGAGGCTTAATGAAGTATGATTATCTCTCCATGGAACCTCAGCATGTGCTGCGAGTGAAGGATGCAATACTATACTTGTTAACAATCACTTTCCATCACAATTCCAGCTTTATCAACAATTAATTGGAGCAACTTTAATTGAAACGACAAATGGACAAAGTGAGTTTCATTGTTGCACAACCAGGTTGTTGTGTCACTTTGATCAAAGGCTTCTAATGGATTGAACAAATTCTGATCAAACAACATTGCAGCCAAGAAAATAAAGGCAGGCAGATCACACTCACACACACATACAAAAGATCACATACCTGTCGTTTTGTTCTCAATCTGAGCCTTACACAGCTCCTCCTCCTTTTCTGTCTCCTTAATCATGTAACACATCTGACTGTGCGCGGAAAATACCTGCAAAGGGAACATTTCACAGATGCAGTCTCCCTCACGCTGATTCCCTGAGATGAGCACAAGCCGGGGCCACCATTCATCTCGCCACATCGGACACAAAATCAATTTTGTGTCTGCTATCCAGGCCTCACACGCCTCATATTTGCATGTACATGGAAGACGATGTGGAAGACGCGGTGTGATTCTTCCCTTGAAGCTTGTGGGCATTAATCAGGCTAGTACAATGGGGCTGTTGTTAGTCATATGACTCTATACTCCATATAGAGTATATACCCCCATACATGGTGACTCCCCCACGTAGGTTATGATGCATCTAACTCCGTAGACTCCTACACGTCTTCATCCAGGAAGCACCTCTGGACTACGGTTGGAGGAGGTGCTGTCAGTGATTGACCAGCGGTGCCTGAAGCAGTGAGTACGCTTTCGCCTTATTTTTCAACGCAGAGGCAGATATGAAAAGCCAGCACGCTATTGGGCTCTGAACTCCAACTGTTCCTGCGTGAATCATATACATTCCCCTCTGCAAGACACAGTTGCAGAGGTTGCAGATGTGGACGCTATGGAGACCCAAGAGTACAGGGGCAGAAACAGGAGGTCATTGGTGTTGGGAGACCTGGTAACGATATGAGTAACTTATTTGAGTACTAAATATTTGAGGTTTCACAATTCAGAGGCAAATATGGGTTGATGGATTGGTGTTATTTAACAGCTGCAGTTTAAAGGAATTTACAAGTCATAAAGCCCAGTTTAGATAAACAGGATCTCAATTGTATCCTGCAGAATGTTTTTTTTCTTGTGTCTTCTCTCCGTTGTGACCATTTGCAAGGGTACCGACCCCCAGTTCAGGAGCAACAATCTACAACAGTTAAAGGCTAGTTATACTGTATGCATCCGCATTCATGTCTGTCTCAGACTCACAAAGGCCATTTATTTTCCCATACTTTGTATTTGATACTCAAAGTGTATTTTGTTGACATTTTTAATACAGAACTTTTATTTGGAATAAAATACTTTTGTAATGGTAACACATCTGCACTGTATTAATTATATTATGTATAGATAGATTATGGATTATAAATGCTACTATATTGAGTTAAAATGATTAACATTAATGTGATTAACTTAATACAGACGGACAGAAGTGATAAACTGAAAAAAAAGTAAAAATCTGAATAACTGTCTAAAAATGGTGTGATGAGGATGAAAATGAATGAATTAACAACATCCTATGAGATTGGAAGCTTCCTATTGGTTGGGCGACAGAAGTGTATACAGCTAAAAAGGGGAGGCAGAGGAATATTAGATTTAGATTTTTTTTAGACTCCTTCCCTTAAAACTACCATGTTTGCATATGCATTAGGTCATCATCTGCACTTCACTGCGAATTAGCATTGATAGATTGACAAAATACAAGGAAGACACCATTTTTATTAGTGTGTCAGACCATATACATGCAATAAAAATCTCTTTCTCTCCACAGGCTCCCATATGGGGCTGGTCGAAGATAAGATAATACTGCTGTATATGCACTGAGACTGATGCATGGTTAACATACGTTTGTGAAGTGGTTGAAGAGGCCAGAGAGTTTATAGCTCATAATTCTTCCAAAACAGTGTGGGAACACTGAAATATAAGTCTGCTCCCTCTGGAAGTATGTAGATGAAAACAAGCCCGAAGAATCAAATTGATACGAATGAATAGGATATATGTACTGTATCAGCTTATGTATCATATGCATGTGTAGATGACCATATAGAACTAGGAGTTGAATGTGTATGGGAGAATCATTATATATCCATTGTTTATAATCAGACATTTGATCAATTGAAGCAGTGAAATGTGGAACATTCAGAAGTTTATTAAGCGACAAAAAAACTGACATAACTTTACAAAGAGCACAACATGCAGCGGCTTTCCAGATGTTCTCTGCATCGCAACACCGTGCAGACAGGACAGTATGAGAGACAGTGTTTCTGACGCTGTGTGAGACACGAGAGAGTGTGTCAGACAGTAGTTTTTGATATCCTACATTGGCTAAACTGTGTCTTAGACCCGCCGCATTGGGACACAGCCCCAGCCCAGCAGAGACATGCAGACATGTGGAAAAGGAGGTGCAGGAAAAGCATATCATATGACTTTATTGAAAGGTGTTTCAATAAAGTCATTATTTTGAATTGAATGCTGTTGAATGAGGAGTAAAGGACATATTGAAGAGGATTAAGTAACCAAAATGCAGCGATGTATATGTGTATGTTTCTTCACCAAAAAAGGTCATATCTCCAAAATGTTCCGCAGGGCAGATACATTGTACAATCAACGCGGCTCGGACCGGAGTTCAATTTCTTGGCGTAAGGAATTGGATGTGTGGCGGGAGTGCGTGGCTCCAGACCGAAATCCATGACTGTCACGCTCAATGTGTGACACTGGACAGCCTCCTTAAAAAGGGAGCTGGGAACAACAGTTGGACTAAAAGCAAGAAAATACGACCATGTATGTAAAACAGGTGTGTATTTACAGTAAAGCACTGTTTGCCAAGAGAGTGGCTACTTAGTACACAGAGAGAGGCAGAGAAAGGGAAGCTGGCAAAGTATGGGACTCTGTAAAACCTTTGCTGACGACATAATCGGGAGCTTCCCTGTTCAGTTTGCTTGGGCTGTCTGGACCCCTCTAGCGTCTTATAAAAGGTAAATCTTACAGGTCATGTGATGACTCACGGGTAGTAAAAAGAAGAGAACATCTGCTGTACCAAAGTATACTATCTAAAGCTATTTCCTCAACCTTTGAAACACTGGATGGAAAGATAATAAAGTCATAATAAAATAGCCGGATGATAAACCCTCCTGCTCACACCTGCACTCTGTTACGCTTCAAAAATGACTCACCCTCTCATGGCTACATTATTCAGATTGTCAACATTGATCAGTATGGCAATAAAAGGTTAACCAACGGCATTAAACTGGATTTTGCAGTTAAGGCAAAGGTGATACATTTACAAGTAAATATACTGCATTCAAAAATGTAGTTGATTGTATTTAAAGGAAAAGAACAAATTGAAAACGCAGAGTTGACCCTGTCACTGCTTATACCATTCATCACATATTTATGCATAAAACAAGCTGCATTCTAATGCAACAGGTTGAAGCACTTTCTAACAGACTTCAGAATTCAGACATTCCATTAGACCTCCTGGAAAGACAGTGTACTTGCACAACCAGCGTTTGAGAGTTCACTGACATCACCTAACTTTCAGCATTGCTCTACCTAACGCCCACCTGACTGGAGGACTAATAAGCTAAATTAAAAACACCTGTTTTCAGAGCCTTTGATTAGCAAATTAACTCACTGCATGAATCGAAAATGTGTAGTGGGGTACAAAGTACAATATTTCCCTCTAAAATGCAATGAAGTAGAGTTTTGATGTGAATAACTAATTGTTCGTGTCCTACAAATTTCATTTCAATTGTTTAGGTATTCTACATTACTTAATACTTCGAATACACTAAAAACAATCAAACATTTCCATTCAATACATTTGTTAGAGAGCTACAATTACAATCAGTTTTTTTAAATAGGCATGATTAGGGATTAAACTACCAAAAATATGTACTAGAAGTAGTACTAGAATTTGGTGTCCCTTCTTTTCCCATCTTTCAACCATAATTTTAAAGTTGCACTGAGATTGTATATAGTAAGATTGGCCTTTCTGCCTAGTGTGTACCAACCCTCTTATACTGATAGTAGTTTTCAATAGTTGCACTAATAGTTGAATTTAGAATGATAGCGTAATATCAATGAACTTCAAAGGTTTCCAGTGAGCGTCGGAAAAGTATAATACTGAAACCCAAAGAAAACATTTTTTTACACACATTGTTTGCGCCAATAAATATTAAACTGGACATTTTCATTTTTACAAGTGGAAGAAAGTGATACATGTTTCAAACATTAAAGTACACTGCCCCCTTCTGGTTGAAATAGCGTAGTGTCCTGTTTCTCTCTTATTGGCAGATGCATCATGACCTCACGTGGGATAACCAGGAAATGGAACTAACCCAAGGCTTTGCTTTCGGTTAAATGTGAGTTTGTAGCTGCTCGATTAAAAGGTGCGTTTTATGTCACATATCTGTCCTCACACGACGTAGCTTCTACTCAGATTATTACTGTCTGTACTGTAGCTCACTTGTGTTGACCATAACATGTTTCTTCTTCCTGTTGCAGACAGAGACATGGCAGACCTTCCTCTTAACCCACTGGTTTTGATTGGTGCCGGCTCCAGCTTTGCATTCTCTGGCCTTTTCTATCATTTATACCAAGAGAAGAAAAAAGAACTGCAGAAGCTGAAGGCAAGTGACTCCGCCTGAATCGTTATTTGTTGTTCCCAAGTATTCCCAGAGCTCTATTCTTGATGATGATTTCGATGATTTCAAAACACAGTGTTTCTCTTTTTGGGGCGTTTTAGGAAATACCTGTTTTCAAACCAGATACACATCTGATTAAAGTGTTGAAAGCATCTCCCCACAAGCGACTTCAATATGTTGCAGTAGAAGGTACAACCATGCCGATAATGAGCCTTTTGGGGAATGCAGTCTGAAAACAGGATCTGTCAGTTGTTTTACAGTTTCCTTCATATCTCTTCTGAGGTCTGGTGCAGGCAGATGGGGAGCCTCTGGCCAGCCAGTTTGTCCCCCGATGCTTTGGTGTCATTCAGAAGATAGCAGTGGAGGAGCACTGGAAATACTGGAACTCCCTCACCAAGACATGGTGCTTTTAACCCGCAGCATAAAACCAACAGTGTGTCTTCGCCAGTCTACCAGCCCGTTAATAATAGTCTGATTATCTTTCCAGGAAATCCCGGACGATGAACAGAAAAGAAACCAACAACTCTGTGCCTTTCAGTCTGGTCAGCCCTGGTGCCTACAGCACTAACGTGTATGTGAAGATCCAAAACCCACTGGAGGCCTCTGGGTGCCACCTTGACAGGGTTTATAACAAAGTAAGACGTGCTGAAGAGGGCTTGGTGAACCTGCTGATGCAGGGCCTCAACGGGGAGAAACCAGTGGCGATGGAGGAGAGCGAGGAGCTGCTGCAGGTGGGGAGCACCTTGACCGGTTTCGGGGAGGTGGTGCTGGAGGAGGGTCAGGTAATGAGGCTGCAGGCCCCACGGGACGGCCGTAAGTACGTCCTGATGCCCACTGACTACAGGAGCTTCATGGACGGGCACGAGAGATCAGCTAACATGTGGAAGATGCTGACCGCTGTGACCGGCCTCACGGGGGCTTCTCTTCTGGCCAAAGTGATTTATGGCCTTGTGGGGAATCAGGACAACAGATCAAAGTAGGCTTCTAGGCGTAGATGCTGCAGATTTAACAGCTTTAATTCCTGTGTGACGACTTTTTGGGTGTCCTAATACTGCCTACGGTTATTTGTCTTTTTTAGGGTCATAATTATAGGATGATTTGTCAAATATTGGACAGAGTATATTGGGAAAGAAAGCACAATAAGACTGTAGAAAACACAACACTGAATACAAATGAACAAAACAGACATTTTCAAAGGCAACAAAAAATATTGTTTGAAATTAGACAGAACCCAAGATTTCTTATCCTTAACATTGTGTGTATTTTTGATATGTTCTATTTTTTTTAAGCACTACTGTACCTAATTGACTACTTAGTTATCTTATTGAAGCTCTCAACACCCAAATCCTACACCCGACAGAATGGGGCATTTTGGTCTGATGGACACAATCATTTTGGTCTGCAGGCCTCTTTGTAGAGGGGGAGTAATGATGCACTGCAGCACGTTGAGCTGGAACCTGTCATGTCAATAATGTGTCCTCCAAGTCATCGGGCTTCATTACATGAAGCATGTGATTAAATGTTTCAGAAGAGCACTCTTTGGGTGCAGGGTATTTTACTTTAGAAATCAACATTTGTTGAAGGGAATATTTGTTTTTATGAAATTGTATTTCTTTTATAATTAAAGGTGAAATCAGCAAGTTTTTATGGGGTTATCAATCGTTTTATTTTAGAATGTTTTACTTTGATTTTAACTGAACTTGATAAATCTATCTGGTAATTTGGTCACCGAGTTTCTGGTCATGTCCAGACGCGGTTTTTGTTCAAATAAAACATTGTTACATTGTTATATATAATATTACTTATAACATTGACAGACAGTTTGTGTCAGTGAATCTTTCTTCTTTATTTGTACATCGACCTTCACAGTCGTTACATGACCCGACACTGATGAAATGTCATAGGATCCTGGTGAATATCAGTGGCAGAAAGCTGCTGCGGAGGGCAACAACAAGTGCCTCAATCCCTTCTTCCAAATGACAGTTTTCATGTTCCTGTGTGTCCTTAGCTGAGCGCTCCTCGTTATTCCCCTTCCTCGTCTGAAGACTCCTCGGCCTCCTCCAGCCACTGGATGAACTTCTGTAGCTGTAAGAGATTAAACGTGACGTGACAAATGATGCAACTCCATCACACATTGGGTAGTAATGGGATTTAGTAAAAGGTAATATGATGGCAGCGACTCCTATCTCGTCAAACAAACAGCAACATGCACTCCTAGATGTGGTGGAAATTGTGAGGGAACACATTCCTCTTTGCAAACAAAGAGTTTGCCAATAACTGTTAAATTACAGCGTTACACTGTTATTCCCTTTGGTATTTCAATATTTTAGAAAAAAGCTCATCTGATCACCTAAAAAACAGGGAAAGTTCCATGTTTGTTTTACTACCCATATGCACTTAGTCAATCACAGTAGTAAACAACAGCAGTGACTTATTTCTATTGGATCTGCTTCACTTTTCTAGTCATTTTCATATGCATTTTATTTTTGTGTATATCCCTTTTAATGACTATTTCCTGGGGATAAAAGGTACTACAGTTGCCTTGACATGAGCAAAGCACTTTAATCTAAGGTAAAGATTTAAGGTAAGGATGAACACTCATTTTCACTGAAATGGTATTTAACACAAACCCAAAGCTCTCCATACGCTCATATTTGACTTCTGTAATGCCGGCGCCAGCTGGTAACGCACCGTCCTTCTACATTGTCCAAACTTCAGCCCTTAATTGCATGAGTATCGTGATCGTGAATTTGTTCACTGTCACTGAGAGGCTGAGTAGGAGATAACTTGTGGACGCGCTTCCTTCACTGAATCCAGGATCCAGTTACTGCGTTCTTGTTTTATTTTAGGTACACTATACAATTAATCTGTCATCTGTTTACGATACATTTTGACGTAGTTTTTGCGTTCTTTTTAGCGGTCAACAAAATATATGACTCCGTCTCTCACCCCCTCTCCTTCCATTTCCCCAAACTAAACTGTGGACACACCTTTATCCCCGTTGATACCAAACACCACGTGACTCAATTCACGTAAAGACAAGAAAAGGGGCGTACCAGGTGTTAGAAACTACACCTGTCTCCTGCAAGTGTGAAATAACGTCATGGAAAGCGTCCGGTGTGACACGGCTAACCCTGTACCTACCCCCTGGTTCTTGCGGAGCTGCCTGCTCTTGTCAGTGGTGGCTCCCTGCGAGAACCAGCGCAGTATCGTCTCCTCCTCCAGGATCTCCAGCTGGTACATGTTCATCAGGACCTGGATGGGAGGGAGAAAAAGTCCAAGCTCTTGTTCGCCGGGTTCACCCTGTGTAAAAGTCAGCAGACCACAAAATGGTAGCGGTGATTGTTCCCGACCTTGACCATAGCAGCCCAGTGACTCTCCTGCTCCAGGAAGTGTTCCTCAAAGGCAGACAGACAGTCTAGATGGTCCTGGGCTCTCTTCACATAGTTCTTAAACACTGGCGCCCACTTCTTCAATAACTGCGAGTTGAAAAAAGTAGAAAAAAAGAAAAGCATAACCTCAGAGTGGCGGATCTTTACTGCCATTGCGTCAGCACTTGACACATGAATGGAAGGTGAAGTTTACCGGTAGGAGCAGACCAACATATTGCGATGGAGTCAGCTGAGGGCCCTGCTGCTGGAAAGGGTACTCCAGCACCACTCTGGTTAAAATCTGCATCACCTCTTTAAGAGTGATGTTGTAGGCGTACCTGTAGAGAGAGAAGTGTGTCAGACTGCTGCAAAAGCGGTCACTTTTAGCAATAGAACTGCAGGCAACTTTTAAGTCTTTTCTTACTTGAGAGAGTTAATCTCAAGTACGAGATTGTCGAAGCTGATGTTTTCCTCCAAACCTCTCTGCAGAGTCCCGAGCACCTCCAGCTGGAAGACTACACATGGGCACACCAACGAGTTAGACGACTCAACCCACACAACATTTCCTGTGAGCACCAAATGCTTGTTTCAGGGAAAATCCCTAAAAGAAAAATTCTTTGGGCTTTCACGATCCCTTTTCAGGGAGTAATCAGATTGATCAGAGCCAGAAAATGAATTGCCGGTTCAGTTGTTGTTATTTTGTCTTTTGGGCCAGTAGGGTCCAACATATGGTTTCACAGACTGTCGAAACAATCAACTCACCTTTCACATCCTCCATCTCTGGGGAGGGGATCACTGGGTCATCAGGGTCCTCGGGCTCGCTGTCCTCACTTTCACTCTCAGGGTCAGGATTCAACACCAAACCTGTTGCAGAGGAAACAAAAGCCAGGTTGCTGTGACACGGACCATAGCAACACAGGACATGGATTTTTTCTTGCCATCATGCCACCTAACCCCAGAGACACTGAGAGATCTCTTCGTCCTCTGTGTCATCCAGAGAGCTGGCCTTCCAGATGTAGCCTCTTCCCCCGACTCCAACCTCTGCCGGGTTGAACACTGGAGCACAGGAGGACATCAGCTCATGAACACAAACACTCGAGCATTTGTTTATTCACGTACATGTCGGCACACAGACACTCATCACACACCTTTAAGTTTGGCTTTGTCTTTGCTGTGACCGACCGCGGCATCATCACTCATGAATTCATCATCATCCTCCTCTTCCTCCTCGTCTGGATGGTGCATGGACACCACAGTGCCCTCAGGTAGAGACATGTTTGGTCCAATCACCACCTTGATAGTCATGGATTTAATGAAAGTGGTATATATATATATATATATATATACACACACATGTATATATAAATATATGTATATATAACATCTAAAATTGAGCTCTCTTCTGTAGAAGAGAGCATATGCGTCATCTAAATGAACTGTAGGACTTTAGGCAGCAACTTTCAAATCTGCAGCCAAAACCTATTTCACAGTAGTGTATCTCATAGTATCTATTTTTTTTTCATTTAAAAAGGTTTTCAAATGTTACTTGTTTGCTTGTACTATGTACTAGAGGCTGTTACACTTGCACATCAGCTGCAGTAATCAAAGCAGTTGATACATTGATCTAAACTTTCAACGTTTCAGTTGCGCTGAATATGCTGAACACAGTTAATAAAGTTGTATCTAAAGGATGAAATACGTTGAAATGTCCGTTGGAAAGCAAGAGACTAAAGCAGCTGCATTGTCCGCTCAGTTGAAAAATTGGACGGCCGCTATGCAAACCTAGTTATTCGATCGATCAGTTTTTAGCTAATTAAAATGAAGGATAAATACATGCATTGCTTACATTATACGCCAGGACACACTGTTTATTCAGCTTCACCCATTCTTTGATCTCTGCCTTGTCGCAGACCAGAGACTGGCTGATCATCACATTGCTGGCAATGTGAACATTATTCCAGATGTAGGCATGGTCGAGGGTTACATTGTCACCTATCGTGTTAAAAAGGGGGACCGTCAACACCACTTTTAGTACAAGTACTTGCATATGTTCTTCCTCATTCAAAACACACAAATTAGTCCCTTTAGTCTCGGTTGCTGCCGGTCGAGGAGCTCACCTATGGTGCAATTGTTGCCGATGACGCTGTTACAAATGTAACAGTTAGCGCCGATGTTAGTATCGGAGCCGATGAGGACGTTCTCCTCCATCTGGCTGCCGTGGCCCAGGCTGACTCCAGACCCTCGGTAAACATTGTGGCGAGAATACGTGCAACTTAGTCCCTTCTGGTCAATGAAGTTGGCCTCGGGCGTGAGCGGGTAGACCCACCGCCGCACGAGGTCCGACGACACAGAGTCATACATGAGGAGATTGGATACTCGGACGCCGTAACCGTCCTTGGTGACATGCATGTGTATCTGGTTGCCCAGAATCTAAACAGAAATAGAAAAAATGATACATTCAATGACATTTGAAGAAAAACAATTTCCTAATTAAAAGAAAGTCGACTGTGCCGAACCTCCTCATTGACCAACATCCCTCTGACAAAGTCATTCCTGGACTGGTAGTCAAAATTGTCAGTGAAGAGCTCAGCAACCTGAAAAATGAGAGTAAAAGAAACACTTGTTACCTCAAAAACTGTCGGTTCAACAGCCTCCGTCTGTTCGTAAACTAACCTGTGGGGAGCAGATGCTGATGTGACAGTCCAAGAGATCGTGTCTGATTTCGAACTCGTCACTTCCATTGTGGAAAATGTTCTGCAAAAACACACACGAGTGACAGTCAATCGCCATCAAAAGCCCAAGGAAGTTAAAGATGTGACGAGATGTGGAACTCTACCATGGGGAACTGGAGCCTTTTCAGGCCTTGGGTCTTCTGGTAGTGTAAAATCCGCTGGCTCTTACTGTCCATTGCAACAATGACATCATCTTCCTCGCAGCGGGACTTGTGACCTGGCGATGATTCCTTGAAGATCATCGTCATCACCGAGATGTTCTTGTCCATCTTTCGACGATGCCTATGTGCAATCAAAATGACACGCAGTATTAAAGCAGCAAAGATGGATTCCATTTATTGGAAACAATCTCATTTCTCCAGACTACATTAAAAAAAACTACCTCTTACCTGTGCGCGTGCAGTGCCGAACTGATGTCAATATTAGATACCACATCTCCGTAGATCAACACAAAGTCAGACCGCAAAAGGGACTTGGCATCAACATCTCTGAGAACATCCCCCAGGGAGCGGTACTGCTCTGAGGTGATGATGTGGACTGTG